CGCCTTGAACACCATTTGGGTGGATATTTGTGCCTTTCCAGTCAATTCCTACATTTTCTAAAATAATAATTCCACTATCTCATGTCCGAAGCGGATATTTATAATCCACATTAATATTCCGACGTGTTTACGCACAATACGTTAACACAAAAGTAGAGGTGTTGTGGTATCGTGGATAAGGTTCCGGACTGTGAACCGCAGGGTCCGGGGTCCAAATCCCTGCTGAAGTACTAATTTGTATTGGCAAGACATTAATCTACACTTTCCACACTCCAGCCAGGTGAGGTAAATGCTACCTTGCAGAAATTAAAGCTTTAAAATGCTTGAGCACTGTAATGGCAGCCGTGTTAAAGCCGATGTAATAATAATGGCGCGCCATAAAATGCCATTATGCAAGACATGAGCGCTATGAACCCAAACATACTCTGTATACCAGTGTTTCGTCCATTGGTAATAATAATTTTATATCGCTTTCAAACCGTAATTTCGCAGACATCTTACCAGCAGTAAAAATCCGATGACGTGCAAAGTGATTCTCATTCGTTGGATATCCATTTTAGAACTGGCCAGTCGACTCATTCTGTAAATGATAAATTTCACAATTTGTTTGTTAGCTGGTTTAAGAAGAAAGAAATGTAAACGCAGTGCGCAGGCCTTCAATAGCCTATGAAGCTAAAAGGGAGAGTCCAATACAATCAAGGACGAAGTCTACTGTCATGACACACGAGATATGAACGAGATATGAACACTCAACTTGAGAGAAATCCAAATGTCCGCAAAAGTTATAGGACCTTAATGAGGTCCATTAATAGGGTTATATAATTACATTGTAGGCTATAGCTGACAAAATATAAGGCAAGACCAGCCTGCTTCCCCTACCCCCTCCCTTCCACCCCCCCCCCCAAAAAAAAATCACTGTACTGTTTTTCTGTTTCACGTTTCACACATGTTGTGTATTCTCTTATAGACAAACTAGTACTGGGTTTAGATTCTCCTAAGGTAATACGGTTTAAATCTATGTATTTCGTTTTTGTTTAACTTATAAATCAGATAAACTCATATCATTATATAGAAAGTTCAATCTTATTAGAAGCTGTAAACAGCTAAACATGAGCTATGGTAGACCCGCACTGGAACTTAATTAATAATCAAATGACATGGTGCCTTCTTGAGGTTCATTATGTAATGTAGGCTATAACTGAAAAAATATATAAATGTAGGAGCCACCATCAACCATCTAAATCTGTACGTCTGCTTCATTTTGTTTAAAAAAATCACTGTACTATTTCAGTTTTAAACATGTTTTTTTTTTTTTTTTTTTTTTTTGTAAAATGAATTTATTGATAAATATATGCATTTGAACAAATCAAACGATCATACACAATCAATTGAAATAACATCGTAGCATCTTAACATAGTTCAAATAAAACATGTTTTGTTTTCTCTTATAGAAGAATTTACGATCAAATTATAAACAAAAAGTAATACGTTATCGAATCAGAGTCAAAAGAGTTAGAAAATGCTTGAATTGATGGATTGAAATAATTTTAGCTATGTTTACTCACCCGCAGCCTGTCTTGAGCTTACACAAACAGATCACAGCAACAGAGGTTTATTATTCACTTCAACGGATATACTCGATGCTTACGGCATATATAATGTTACATTCTGGACAGCCAACTGCCTTATCTACCAATGCTGCTGAGCGTAAATGGCGCGGCAGCAGACCGATACTGTTGAGGATGTATTAACACTGAGGGCGGTATAAAGCTATACTTTTTCAATAACTACAAAATTAAAGAATGAAGGAATCATGGTAATAACAGGCCTACTAATAAGCTACCTTGGGTGAATAAGACCGTTGATGTTGAGCAACAGTATATAAAACTGAGGTATTTTTTCTCGCTCTTCTCTACCGGACTATATTCAATTACCTCCTGAATTAAGGATATAGGCTAATTTAAGTTCATGAATTTTACATTAATAATCCGATGTAAATGGATTAGGCCAAGAGCCTTTTCCGAAGTAGTGACCACATTTTACCTATAATATTTCACCTCTCGAAGTTACTTAACCCACACAACTCATTTCCTAAAATGCCGCAGCCCGACTATAACTGTCGGGTGAAGCACCCAGAGCCCCCTTGACAGATCGCAAACCAAGGTCGATTACACTCCAACTACCCATTCACCAAACTTTGGTAGTAGGACATAGTGTAACTTGTCATTACCCAACCAATTTTGGCAAATCTGGTATAATTTTTCTTATAAAAAAGATTCCCCTTCTGTTGGAGCCAATGCAAATTGCCCCACATTCTTGAAAGTAAGCTAGTCTTGGTTTTGTATGGGCTACCCTGTACAGCAGCGTAGGTCAGGACTGAGAGGAGGGACTTGCGTCATGGATGGGAAGGGGGTAGCGCATCGGTGATTGGATGAAACGCAAGAAGAAGAAGGTACATGAAGATTGTAATATCTTCTTTCACGTTGCTCTCCCCTGTTCATTTTTGGAAGAAAACAAATCTTTTTTAAACAACCCTCTTTTTCTTGATTTCACCACGCGAAGGGACAAACAAAAACCTGTTCGTTTTCTCTTCATTTTGCAAATCGAGCAGCAAGACTTTTGTATATGCCATAAATTATGTTTGGTTCATTTCACAATTGAAAAAAGAAAATGAACTAAAGAATTTATTTGTTATCAAAGAGTGCCCTCAAATGTTGTACCTGCTGAAAGGTGTATTATTGTAATAGAATGCAATTAAAGTTTTCAAAAATGTAATACAAAATTGTACAACTTCCCCCATCGCTCATCTTCCTCTCTCTCTCTCTTCTCCGGATTTTATTCCGTGTATAACTTCTTTCTCTTCTTTATGATGCTCCTTGCAATATATTCATGCCTCTAACAGTGTTTCAAATGTTCTACTTTGAAGAGCAATAGGGGCGGGTTAGAATATACAAGCTTTGCTTTTATTAAGCTTTTAAATAATTCCCATATGTCCTCATCGTTATAACGATAATGCACATGTACGCCATCAATACTTTGTGTTATTTCATTATCAGCTTGTATTAGTTATTGTACATATTGGGTTACGTTATCCATACAAAATAGACCAATGAAACTTAATTTGAACCATCTGCATTTATCGAATTTATTTTTCTCTATATTTGCCACTACTACGTTTGACATCTGCAATATTTTATCGATTGATGCAATATTATATACCTTCAAGAAATCTATAAAAAATAAACTTTCAATAAGCCTAGTCATGAATATGATATCATAGCAGTTTTGACAAACAATCTTAAGTTTGATGTCAATCATCAGTGTCAAAGGTAAATTACTGTTTGATATTTCTAGAATAATAGCAGTTCTCATTAATACATTATGAAAATGGAGGAATATCAAATAAATTCAAAATCATATAAATTGTCTTTAAACCGAATGTCCATGGGATTATAAACAAGCAAGGGGTGATTTTCTTGTTATCCATTGTAATATGATGCTTAAACCTAAAGGTTCGCCATGTGAACGAAAGGTAGAGATTATGTAAAAACATCGGAAGAATATAGATATTTATCATACAAATCAATAGAAATTGATGTTACATTAATAACACAAAGGTAACTACAAACATGCAATTTAACTTACAGACATCAATCAACTTTTTAGATGTACTTCAACCATTTCTTTTGGTAAGTCATCTTTTCGTTTTGTCTGTGTACTTTTCTTTCTGCTTTATTGTATTTCATTCTTTTTCTGATTTCTCTTTCAAACAAATGTTTCTATGCAGAATCTCTTTTATCTTTTTCCAGTTTTGTTGCGTTGTTAAATAACTTTACATACACTCCAGAATGTTATGGTCAGAAATAAATTCTCCACAAATATACACGCATTTTTAGATTAAAGCTAAACTTGAGTTCTGGTAATGCAATTCCATTGTGAATGAAAAGGTGTGGAATGAATCAGAAAAGTTGATCATATAGCATGTAAGTAATGGTGTGTAATGCAAGGTTCTGGAGTCATCAAAATCATCATAAATTTGCCAGAGTCTTGGTAAAGTTACAATCACTTACACAGAAAGATGTATATGTGACAACACACATGGTGTCGGGGCTAGTACTACCCTGATTTCCTTATCTTTCTATGCTCATTTCTCAGCCAGTATACATTTTCTTCCAAAATTGTTTGGCACATGACATTCATTTGTAATCTTGAACATTCAGTGTAAGTTTCGTTAGATTCTGTGAGAATTCATTTTCCTTTTTTACCAGAACTCAAGTTTATGTTTAATCAATACAGTTCCAAGAAGATATATATAAACTTTCTGTCAATAATAAATGATACTATCACAATTATGTCATGAAAATCGGTAAAGATTATTAGACATTTTTGGGCAAGGTATATCTACAGAGTGAGTCAGAAAAAATGTCCCACTTTTTAAAAGTTGTATTGTTTGAAGTATGAATATTTAATCATGAGTTTCATGATATGTCTTGATAGAGTTACCCTCCCAGTACATTTAGGTACCAGTTCCATTTGAATCTCAGCACGCATGACTGAACATCAGACAATCTTTACTTGACTGCCAGATCTCACTTGCGCAAAGTTGCTGGGTGGGGAATAAAATAGGGTTTTGAACAAAGACAGTCAGACAGACAAAACACACACACACACGCACACGCACACACATGAGCGTTCCATTCCCGAAAAGGCCCAGCCAAACTGTTGCTTTTTGTCGAGAATTCTTCTTCTTGTACGAAAAGTTGAGTGGCCGCTGTCCTCTTAGTGTGTATTGGCGGATGTTGTACTTCATGATGATGATGATGATGATGATGATAATGATGATGATGATGAAGATTAAGATGATGACAATGATGATGATGAGAACATGATGGTGGTAGTGAATGTGTACTAAAGGGAACGATTGTCAGGGTTATTAGTAGGATACCAGCCTGTAGGTCCCGTGACCAATCTAGTAAGTAAGTCTCTATAATGTCCCTATAGCTTAGTTGGCTCAGATCCGACCATCGTTCAGTGTATAAGATGTAGATGCGTTGTAGGACCGTTGCATATCCGAACAAGGCTTAATGTCACATGTCCAGTGTAGACGCATACAATCCTTTATCCAAGTCATTGAGTCATTGACAGGTAATTCTGCGAAATTATAAAAGAAAAAGAGGAAAAGAAGAAGCAAAGGTAATCATTAATTTGGTTAGGATTATAATTATTTTCACGATACCTGTTGAATTCTTAGTAGGTCCATGATTGAACAGAAGTTAAAAATCCAGAATAATACAAATGGATATGTAATAAGGAAACAAAATTTCGCATACGACATGTGAGAAGAAGGCGAATTCGAGTCCATCTTACATGAGTCTTTTCTAGAATCCTTTCCAAACTCTTGAGGATCTGATCAAAGCTATTCAAATCATGAAACAAACATTTACATAGCTTATCTTCGTTCTGATTTCATATATCAACTATTATAGGAGAATTGATGAATATAATCACCTGGTCTGGTCTTCTGTCTCCTCAACATGATGAATTGAATGATGTTGATGATGACAGAAGCCACTAACAGGGTGGCTAAGACAGCAATAGCTGCACAGGCCCCAGAACTCAGACCAGTTGGCACACAGGTACATAGTGTGGGATCTGGATGGTGAGCAATGTTTAATGCAAGATCTAAAGACACAAGCTTCTAGATGAAATCATCGAACCTATGATTAGTTTTCTACAAATACTCAGTGGTTGTATCACACATGCTAACGGGTCGATTGCTCCAGATCCATTGCATACACTAGCCGAATTATTTGCTCCAACGCTGGACCCTGTTTAAATGATCCTAATCCTTACCCTAAACCTTAACTAAACTCCGATCGTAATCCTAGTCCTTACCCTTACTCTTAACCTTACTTAAACCCCAATTGCAACCCTTACCCTATAATTTTGACGAAAACAATAACAGGAGAAAAATGTCGCCGGAACAAATGTAAGATCACCATACCATTTATATAACATACAGGTATCTATAGATATATAATAATTTCAAGAACAAAATTTATTCCCAATAACTGTAAAAACAACATACAATGACAACCGCGTTTAAAGGTACTATGCCCCATTTGCAGGCTAACAAAATGAAAAGGTTATATTCCAACGGCATTTGAAAGTAAATACTAATTTAGAACTTCCCTAAAAAAGCGGGGCTTGAAAATGTCTTTAAGAGGAAATATAACGACTATAAAAGTTGTCAAATTGACTTAAGAGCTGTAGAGCCAGTAAGTTATAGTCTGATTTACAGATCATTGTACCGAATGGTTGTACGTTTTATGCTGCGCAAAGGTTCAATCAGTTTAATTTTGGCCATTACAAGAAGTGGATTATTGTCAAATGCTCATGTACCCTTAACAGCTCTTTGTTATGTATGTTATTACCAAGAAAGAAAAAAAGTCAGTCAGTCACTCGATAGTGTCTGACAGTGAAGTCTATCAAGTAAACGGGTTTCCTTGCATAATATGAATATTAGGACACTGCTAACGTTTACATTTCACAGAGAGGACATACATGACATATACTCTTAACTTCTGCAAGTTATACATAAGTTGATGTTAGCTGCAAAAGGGACATACTGTAGTATCTTTAAGCCATACAAAATAAAACTACTAAAATGAAAAATCAGTTCACATTCTCATGGACAGCAACCCTGAATCTTTCTATAGTACTATATCTTTCAGATACTGAATAGAATAAGTCATCGGGGGAATTCCCGATTTAATTCATTGCGATCAAAACAAAACCTCCTGACGAAATTGAGAAACAAGTTTGTATGCGTATTCACCTATGCTATGAAGCCTCGCTTCAACCATTGCATTAACAGGACTTTGGACTCTGGTCCGTGTTCACAAATACATTGTAGATTAATATTTGCTGAAGTAACTAGGGAATAATAAACATTGCTTGGATGAATACACATCCTTTGATATTGTTTTTTCTGATATTTGTATATCACATATAATAATTTATAATGGCATAGTTTATTACAATGGCTCATTCAGTCATCAGGAGCTTAAAGTGATGAAATGCCTGTATTGTTAAGATTGTACAAAAAAGTTTATGAGAAATATTGTGACCGATACCTCCCTCTCTCTTTCTGAGGAGCTCATCTAGCAACGTACTGTAGTCTTTTATATTCAGATTCGGAAGAGACTTGTATTACTGTAAACGCTGTTATTTTCAGCATCAAATTTACTTCTTTATGTACACTGTTGGTCATAATGGTGGAATAATTATTTTCACCCCAGTTTAGGGAAAGACTTTAACAAATTATTTATTTCTAATAGATCTAGATAATGGCATATATTCTCAGATTTTATTGAATATTAATTTGCGAGTGTTTGTTTCGCGTGACTGCTTAATCATATGTGTGCTACTATGCTAATCAGCTAGGGAACCTACGTCCTTAAATCATGATTGACAGTAATGAGGATTAATGCCTCACAAAAGGGCACTAATATAGATGATTGACACGATGTTTATGCTGGGGCCTCACAGTAACGAGGCCATCTCCTAGCCCCTGAATCATGACTGTACGCAGTGTTTGCTAGGGTACGCGGCCGCCCCCACAAATCCCCCAAAACGAAGAAAATGCAATAAATTGTGAAAAATTAATTGCATTTTCCCCCGGCCCCCAACAGGAAAAATTCCTCTGTAGGGCCATGCATTATAGTTCAAGGCATCAACTACATGTGTGTTACTGCATGACGTTCATGTACACCTCATAACCATGCCTGCGTATGCACGCCATTGCCTACTCTTACAAGCACACCCGACTTTGGACTGACAAAGGGAAAACTGGAGAGAAAAAAATCCTCAAATCATACGATTCATCAGCTACATGTATACAAATCTGTATTGTATTTGACGCTTAAGGCTTACCAAACACGACAAGTTTAGATTGGTAATCTCTATCACATGAAACCCCGTACCATTCACTTTAATATGTAGTCCCATGGATGCACGTGCATGTATTTTTTGAGTTGGGATATGATACTATAAAGCAAAATACTTTTATTGTAAGTGCATCATGGTTCTAAATCTATATTCAAAAGTACAATGTAGGCAAGTCTGACAAACATGCTAATTCATTTCAAGAATAAACGTGCATGTATAGACAGTAATTTAAGTAAAATTGGAAAAGTTTTTTTCAAAATTACGTTGAACTTCCTCACCAACTACCTCAACTTCCACTCCCCCCCCCCCCCCAAAAAAAAAAAATAAATAAATAAATAAAAAAAAATAAAAAAAATAAAAAAATAAAAAAAATAAAAATCTCACACAACATCTCTGTTCAATCTGAGGGCTACGCAGGAGTCACATTTTGATTCTTTGCAAACAATGGCTTCTAGTATTTGTAACATTTCTAATAGCTTTATCTAGAAATGAATCCCCTTCACCAAACTTATCCATCTTAAGAGCAAAATGTTGTTTTCCTCAGAACATTTCCCAAAGTTATTTATATCCCATTGAAAAAATTAAAATGGTTAATTTGGGTCTCATAAACATTATTCAATGGTCAGATCGTCTGTTTGGAGTCAGAAGGGTATTAATTCATACACAATTAATACAGTGTTAATGCCCTTCTGGCTCTGAACAGACGATGTGACCATCAACCCATTGCTTACTGGAACCGGGTGGCCCCTGTATTAAACCTACGGCAATGAATAAATTCAGTAGTCAACGGGATAAGATATTTTTTCATATTTGGATTGAAATAAATGGAGAGAAGACAATCAAATGTATGTTGTACGAATTACATTGCACGAAGATGATCTTGATATTTGTTTGCATATATAGTTATATACGATGTATGTACATGTTATACACCCATGCATATGATTGGTGTTGTAAAATTACAAATGTTTTCTTCTATTTGATTTATGCAAACATTGTGATCTACGCATATGTACGGAGTACATGTATGCACATGTGGATCCTCTTTAAGATACGGTGATTACCTTTCCCCAAGAAACAATGATAGAAATAAAAGACGATAAATACACAGAAGCATAATAACCCAAACAAACAAAAACAAACTCTAATTTCACTGATGATATAAAAGAATAATGACTTACTGGTTGGGTCATATCTAGCCGGATCACTTGTTGTGTTTCCAAGATAATTCCCTGCTACGCAAGTGAACTCCGTATAGAGGTCGAATTCTGAACATGGAACCTCCACATCGTTGTCTCCCGTTGGAGATTGATGTATCAGAGTCCCATCGGAGTATATGTAGTAGTTCATTATGCTTGGAATAGGTTGGGTTGGATCAGCAATGTCACATGACACTGTGAGGTTTGGTTCAAGGAACTGGAATCCCACCCTTATATCAGTAGTAGGTGACCCTGAATTAAAGTGAACATGAACAATTCAAATATGCACTGATGGGACAACTGAACAATTTGATTTTTTTTTTTTTTTTTTGGGGGGGGGGTTGATTTTTTAGAGCAACTGAGAAAAAGAAAAGCAGGTATAAATTTACCATATACAGGGATCAATCTTCTTTACATTAATACATGTAAGATGGATTAAAAAAAAATCAACAATCACTTTAAGAATGACACTAAGAGATGCATACTTGAGCCAACAATGTATCTTCAGCTTGCAGCCTTTACAATGTCCATTGTAATCATCTAATTTATAGGGAGATATTTTAGGATGGGGTGAAGGGGATTGCAGACTGAAAGAAATACCTAAAACTTGTACCCTCGTGTATTCAAGTTGAAATGACAACTAAAATATTCAAGGTACACAATCTTTTGCACGCCAATTGGCTATTACATATATGTATACGTACATGTACATGTGTATCAGGAGAAAAATAAAGTTTCCTAAATTGATGAATACTTCTAAGTTATCCTAAGAAGAGTTATCATCATCGTCTGTTTGGAGCCAGAAAGGCCTTATCTCATATCATTTCACATCGAATGAACAGCCTTCTGACTGCAAACAGACAATACTGGTATGTAGAATTAATCGTTTCTATGAACTACTACCAACAATTTTGATATAGTTGATCTCTTTTGTTTTATAGCAAATTATTCTGTTCAGTACAAATGTTCAAATATGCAAAGGGGTAACCAAACTTACTTTGTATATTAAGAGTAGTTGTTTTTTCTCCATTGAGATCATATACTTGATGACCGCTGATGACACATTTCAATGTTTGACCAATGTTCTCACTAGTAGCTTGAAATGTGCAGACACTCCTTTTACTAGACAGACCTTCTCCAGCTGCAGGGTACGTTACATTTGTATCATCACAAGGTGAAGGCCCATCATCTAACATCCATGTGATTGTTTCATCTGGTCTACCTCCTAAAGCTTCACATATTGCTTCGAACACGTCAATGTTGCTCTCTGTTATAGTTTTTACCGATAGGTTCCGTATCGATTTGACTGCAAATCAAAATAATTGTTGTTGTAAAAGGTGATAGTACAAAATTACTGTCAGAAATACCATTACTCTAATTATTTCGTCTAATACTTTGTAATCGTCGCAATATGAATAAAGATTGTTATTATTATTATTATTATTATTATTATTATTATTATTATTATAACTATTTTTTTTATCAATTTTCCACAACATAATGTACAGTTAGATAAAAGAGGAACCGGACTTCATCGAGAAATCTGGGGTCATCTGTTTGTGTAATGATTTCATCAATTCATCTTATTATTATTATTTTTATTATCAATATCATTATAATTACTATTATTAATATCATTATCATTATTATCATTCTAGATACATTAATAAGTCTAAAAATGCAATTTAAAATAGATCCCTTCTTGACATCTACTGTCCATGGATCCTCTTTTTAGGTACTGGTAAACAATACTAACTTTAATGAAAAGCTACAAAGGCAGGAACTACATTAACATTCAGTAAAATAGACTGTTCAAACTTTCTATGACCCACCTTCTACTGTTAGTTCTGCACCATCAATGTTTCCTGTTCCTACAGGAAGTTCAACACATTTATACTGCCCTTCATCTTCTACCAGAGTATTAGTGATTGTCATAGTGGATGTACCCTCATTTTCTGATACACCAAAGTTGACATATTTTGGATGAGTAGAGGGATTGGTAACCGCTTTTCCATTAATGAAGATATTAACAATTGGAATCACTGAAAGGTCTTCCCATATAAAGGTATATGGCGCTGCTCCTCCAGTACAGGTGTAAACTGTGTCAGTACCTTGCTGTATTAAGGAAGGACCTGTCAGAGTCACAGATTGGCCGTTTGAGAATTTCGTGATCTGAAGAAATAAAGATAGGTAGTTGAATCAATCGTTACAAAAAAAGCGATCTAAAGCAGCAAACCAATTTCAAATGCTGGTTTAGAAAAGCAAGGAAGATTTCAAATGACTTTTGCTCCGTCTGAATTTTCGATTTTGAATTAATACCAGAATAGTCCCTGATTTATTTTTTTATTTGCGAAAATGGAACTTAGTAGCTACTTACTCGTGCATGGATAAGGTGAGCTGATATTATTATTTTCACTTTATATAACGCTTCTTCTTGTTTTTGCTAACGTCATTACAACTTTGTTTCTAAAGAACTAATCTATGAATATGTTAATTTAATATAGAAGACGTTGGCTTTAAAAAAATCCATTCATTTACAAAGAGTCCATTAAATTCTGTTTCTACCCTTCTTAAAACCTATACCGAGCGACCTTCGAACAGAAAAATAACAGATATCTTGCAGTAGTGTATTCTTCATCCATGTTCTATCCAATGGGAATGGTGCCTCCTGCATGAATGTTCCAATTTGAGCTAAGAATAATATTAATAAAACCTACTTTATTATGGACTGTATAATTTTTCCTAATCAAAATACACTACATAAGATATTACCATTTCATTAATTTAGTGTGAACATCCCTGCCCGCCTAAGGACATTCGGGCGTCTTGTTGCCCGAATGTGAGTTGCCAGTTATATTACCCGCATATTGGTATTTTACAAACTAATATCCTCAGAACTGCCAGCACCCCTCCCCCATCAATGTTATTATAGGTAATACCAAGTTTTGGTATGAGGACATGACTTTGGTTCAAATGAACATATTGGAAGCATATGCGATCCTACAATATTCAGTGATCGTTGTCGCGGTTGAAATCGTGTCTAAAGATGAAATTGTTAATCATAAAATCTTTACGTTGTATAGCTCCCTCTCAAGATCAAGATATTAATGTAGCTTTAAACAATGTTTCTTGACTAAAAATCGACCGTTTTGCTATATCCCCGTTTGGAAATTATATATTACAACTCCACATTCTGAGATTTTCATGCTCGCAGCTACCATTGGATGGCCGTATAGGCACTCTTTTAAATTGATCACAATTTACCGGTAGCACCGATATTTTTTTTTTATATTCAATTGTTTTCGAGAGCAGAAGTGTTTTAGGGGCTAAATTTTCTAGTGCGTATTATACATCCTCGTGGGCATCCAAATATATCAACATTCTAAAGAATCGCTATCCGCATAATTTTCTAAATTTGAAAAAACTTTGTATTACCTTTAACTAACTCTATTTATCTATATTATGATTTTAAGACACTGGAAGACTTTAGGAGAAAAACAAAACACCCATTTAATGACAAGTGTTTTCTCCTAAATACTGTTTTCTTCTGTTTTATTATAAGCATTTTAAGAGTATTTTTGCCCTTGCATGTAATGTGTTTACTGTAACCGCTTTCAGCACCATCTGGGTGTATAATGTTAGACTCAAATCCTCAATTTCTAAAATGATAATTCCCAAGCGGAGATTTATTATCTACATTAATATTCCCATGTTTGTATGCACAATACGTTACGAAAATGTAGAAGTGTTGTTGTCTTGTGAACAAGTCTCCTGACTGTGAACCGCAGGGTACAGGGTTCGAGTCCCCGCCGAAGTACTTATGTTCTTTGGCAAGACATTTATCTATATTTTGCGCATTTTCCCCCAGGTGAAGCAAATTGTTACCTAGCAGAAATTAAAACATTTAAATGATTGAGCGCTGTAATGGCAGCCGTGTTTAAGCCGGTGTAATAACAATGCTGCGCCGTGATATTGCATTGTGCCAGACATGATCGCTATGTCCCCCACGTACTATATATGCATGTGCAATAGTTTGTATTGTTTTGCAATAACGAAGACAACTTACCAGTATTAACAATCCGATGAAGTGCAAAATGGCTCTCATATGTTGGATATCCATTTTAGAACTGGACAGTCGACTTCTGTATTAATAATCAATTTCACGATTTGTTTGTTAGCTGGTTAAAGAAGATCTATGTAAACGCAGTGCTCATGCATTCCTTAGCCTATAAAGCTAAAGGGGGAAGTCCAATACAATCAACAACAACCTACGTAATATGATTGCACGCGAGATATACAGAGTGAGTCAGAAAAAATGTCCCACTTTTTAAAAGTTGAATTGTTTGAAGTATGGATATTTAATCATGGGTTTCATGATATGTCTTGATAGAGTTAACCTCCCAGTACATTTAGGTACCATTTTCGTTTGAATCTCTGCATGCATGACTGAACATCAGACAATCTTTACAAGACTGCCAGATCTCACTTGCGCCAAGTTGCTGGGTGAGGAATAAACTAGTGTTTTGAACAAAGACAGCCAGACAGATAAAAACATACACACACCCACAGGCACACACACACGCACATACACACAATTGGGGTAAAAACTATTATTCCACCTTAATGACCAAAAGAGAAAAAAACTGTAGATTAGTGCATTAAAGTTGTAGTATTTACAAGAATACCAGTCATGTTTATTTCTTCCACATCTAGGTGAAATTTTCTTTGATCAACATTTCTGTTTCTGTTTACAAATAATCTCGCCCTTTTTGTACTTTGGTTTTGAAATCAGCAATAGTGTAATCCTTGAATGCAGGGGTGGTGATCCCGGGGGGACGGGGGGGGGGGACACGTCCCCCCTCAACTTTTTTTTTAGAGGGGATCGTCCCCCCCCCCCCCCTCAACATTTGAAAAAGTTCACACAACATTTTATAGCTCTGGAGGGCCCAAGAGTGCAGCGTTTAGACAAATAAAAATGCAAAAATCTTCTTACTCGGTAGCTACGCCCCCTTGCATAATATCCTTCAAGATGTACAAGTAAATACCGAGAAAATCGAAGTGTGAAAAAAGTATCTGCTTTTTTTCATACTATAGTTTTGCTAAGGAATGTAATTTTGTAATACAACAAAACTTCAAAAACCTTTGAGGGGGTAGTCACTTCCGTCACCTTCACCCCTCTTATTCACTGTGCTCCCTCGCACCTGCGTACTGATGGGGGGGGGGGGCTTTGGGGCAGTTCTCCCTAAATTAAATTCAAGCGGGGTTTATTTCTAATTCGATACCAGTGATTTACAAATGTTGTTGAAATGGCATGATTTTCCCCTGAGCTTCCGAGGGCTCTGCCCCCTGGCTGCTCATCTGACCCTAATTAAATGCCTAAAACCCCTGGGCTTCTGAGGGCTCCGCCCCTGGACCCCACTCCAATAAGTGACCTGCATGCCAGTGTCACAAATAAGGTATCAAAATATGCTCATCTGACCGTAATTAAGTGCCTAAATCCCCTGAGCTTGATGAGGCTCCGCCCCTTGACACCCGCCGGGGCTTTGCCCCTTGACCCCACGCCAATTTACGCTCCACTTTGCTTTGCTTTGCTCTACCTGATCGTAAATACTTTAACCCCCCCCCCCCCCCACTTTGAAAAACGTTCGAAGGGCCTGCGTAACATGTAAGAGTGGTGGTGATGCGGATTTTTTTCTGCCCCCCCCCCAAACGTTTTTGCTCATTACGCCACTGCTTCCTCGTCCCTCACATTTCGTCCTCCCCCCCCCCCCCGGTCATGAAAAGAAATCGCCGCACATGCTTGAATGTTTAACTCTGAAAAATATGAATGAAGTGTAGAAGGCATGATAGTATTTTTTTTTTTATATACCTGGATATTTTTGTTTACATGTCTGCGTTCTCACTTTTATTCTTTTCGTGAAGAAATCTTGAATCTTGAAGCTTTATTTTGTATTGGTGCTTGTAATTTTGTTTGCACTATTACAAGGTATTTCAGAATAACATTTTTTGTTATGTTATGGTTTATTCAATTTGTGATTTTGACATCTCAGCTACTCTGTTGAAATAAAAAACGAGCGTCTATTGCATTTTGTACACGGCGCATTTGCATAAAGTAAGCAACCGTACGCAACTGTAAGCAGCCATACGCCTGGCCTATGCAAGCGTACGCAACCCTACGCCTGTCAAACGCAAGCGTGCACGTATGTACGCCAATTGCATACGCGTAGGTACGCGGTGCCTACGCACAGGGTACGTAACCATACGCCATCGTACGCCAGCCTATGCATACCCTACGCAGGGATTACGCCGAAGCATAATTTTGTTCATGAATACGCAGCCTAACTGCGGCGTACTCGGTACGCCACACTACGCAACTCTACGCAGATCCGGTGTAAAAGGGGCTTATTTGTACTACATAGCAATATACAGGAATATATGGCTACCAGAGTACAGGAGATACAACTAAATCCAAAAACTGATATAAAAACAACGCTTCATAAACTCCAACTTGTCTAGTAGTTTCCAGATTACTAAGTGTCTAAGAATAACGAGCAACCAGGAGCTCTTTTTGGAGAGCAAGCAAAAGGCATGTGCAAATGCCTGTGTGCTCATCGAGTAAATATGTTTAATTTTCAATTGACCTATTTTCATTAAAAACTAACACATATTTACATGTGATATAGTACAGACAGTTCAAAATCTAGAAATCATGAGCATTGTGTAAAAGGGGGTGTAGCATGATGAGACTACGTGTCTTTCTGGTAGCCTAACTCGGGCCAATCGGGTATGACTACAGACGACGCGACCGCAGCTTTCACATGCGTGCAACATATGCGAAACCGAAGCGTGAGGAGAAGTTCGGTCTGTTTCGCGAACGCTTGCGCGCGCTGACCGTTAATCAAGTCCATTCGTGTACGTGCAGTTGTCCAAAAGAAGTCATGGATGATGTTAACCACTATTTGCCATGCTACACCCCCTTTAACTCTTATCATGCCACAGTGCTAATCCCCATTGTGCCAAGCCCCGAGCCACGGAGTGCCAAGTTTATATTGAGATAATCTGATTAACGCGATGGTTCTATGAATAGCTAGTGCAAAACATAGCACAGACCAATGAGCATGAACAATAACTGCTACTACAAAAGTGTGCACGCACGCACATGGCAGCGTAGCAATAGCTTGCTCGCTTGTACAAAGCACTATAACGATAGTGTGCATGCACCCTCATGGCAGGCTATGAGTTAAGTTAATTTACACAAACTGTGAGCACCTGTAGAAAGATTGTTTTACCTTGTTGATTCAGGCGTCCAAATGAACAAAATAATTACACAGATACGATAACATAATAATGAGTACAGCGCATGGATTCATCTACTCACCCCCTCCCCTCCTTAAGCTGTAATAAAGCCCCACTGCACTATGTGTAGCTATACTTGCGCCCTTTATACAGCCAACAATACCTATGTTCCCCATGATGCCCTCTTTCTTATGTTAATTGAGAGCTGATTTGATGAGATAACCACCTGCCAGTGACCTTGCAGAGAGGTCTAATCCCTCCATGCCAAACTTAAAGGGATAGTTGAGTTCTGTTTCCAGACCGCAAATGCCTTCAAAGTGGATGGTTATTGCTGTTATTCTTATCTGCGACATTTCTAGTGCCCTTTTAGAAGCTAAAAGTGCTATGAAGGTAATTTTAGACCCCAAAATGTGTAAAATTTAGCCAATACGATCATACCAATTCAGTTCCACCTTCAAAATAATATTGTGACCGTTAATTAATTATTTAATTAAAAATAACAATACATGGGCCGGCTGGTTGTGCGTACTATAAGCAACGCGAAAATGCCAACAAAATAGCCAACATCGACATTGGCTGAAATACGACGTAAAAGGCGTTATTCCTTTTTTTCAACCGTTTTTTTTTTTAATTTGTCAAAATATCTAATATTTGTGGTGGTACACAAGTTTTAGAAATCGCTATTTTTCAACCTTCTCTGAACCGATTCTAATCAAACAAAGATGATTTTGTCATTTAAATATTATGTTCTTTCATATTTGACACTCAGTTGTTCATTATCTCACAACAAAATTATTTTGTGTAGCGCCCTCTGCAACAAACTCAACTATCCCTTTAATACTCGGACGCAAGCATTTTGAAACGCAACGGTACATCTGCAGTACACGATTTTTTTTTGCTTGCCGGTATATCGACTATTTTCTGCCGCGATTCACCGCAAAGTCATTGCATTTCAAGTTTAAATGTATATGTCGGCACCGCACTACGGTCGCGCCACAATCGTTGAGCAGCACGCGACGACGCAACGCATCGCAATGCTAATATTGTGCATAACTTCTGGTACAGCAACACTTAGCCGTTTGTGATAGCAGTGGTTTACCAGCGGGGGTGGGGGGGGGTTCCTATGACAAGCAGAGTTTGGCAATATCAAGGGGAAGGAGAGATTAGAGAAGAAAAGTGTAAACATCTGGCAAAATCGAGAAGGAAGTAGGAGGAACCGGAAAGAAAAATAAACACCGGGAAGTCCGTGGACTGCCCCGGCGGAAAGGTAGTGTACCTACGCATACGCCACTGGATGGTGGGCAATGCAGTAAAAACACTCTAACCCATACCTAGGATTTTTGTTTCAAGTAAATGTTTCCTCTTTTCTCTTTCTTTTTGCATTTTAGCCGCCAAAGGAGAGGAGCACGGGCCTGTATTGAGATTGCATGAACAGATCACAGCAATTTATGTTTAAAATTCACTTTAGCAAAAAAAACCAGGCTTTACGGGAGATATAATGTTATGTTGTGGACAGTCAATTGACTTTTCTACCGATGCTGTTGACGGTACATGCTGCAGCAGTAGGCTTACATTGTTTGATGACGTATTACGACTGAGGGCAATATAAAGCTACTTGTCCAATAACTGCAAATTTGCTTGAATGATGGAAGGAATGAAGGAATGAATATATAGGCCTAATCTTGGCAATGCCGATGCGGCTATCCCGTGTAAATAAGACAATTCTATTCAATTAAATTCAATCAAGGTTTATTAAATACATGAATGACAGTCATATACTGAATTGTACATGCTTTTACAGTGCAGGTAAAAAACAATGTAAGTATAAAATAATAACATGAGATCAGGAAAAATGGAATTAAATGTGTACAAGCATAATTCTAAATTATTAGATATGATGTTAAGCAACAGTATTTATGAATATATGAATACTTGGACTTCGATTCATCGGGTCATCGCGTCGGGTCGGGTCTATTTGTAAATAAAAGGGGCCTATTTTACAACATAACGCCGATATTTCGTAAATAAAGGGGCATGTTTCCTGAAATTTCTACCTGATAACAAGTATATTAATAATAATACAAATAATAGTGGGTTCTTGTATAGCCCTTACTTCTGTCAGACATGACACACCTGGCGCTCCACAATTACTACTCTGGCTTTAGCATGGCTGCCATTATGGCGCTCTAGCATTTCAAGGGATGTATTCCTAACCGGTACCCATTTATCTCACCTGGGTTGAGGGTGGCACATTGAGACAAATGTCTTGCAAAAGGTAATAAGAGCCGCGTCGGGACTCGTACCACGAACCATGGGATTGGCAGTCCAGGGCCTTATCCACTACACCACGAAACCACTTCTGTTGCAATAGAATACAATACAAATATGTCATGTTTAAAAAAACTGAACAACCTTCCTCATTGCTCATCTCTCTCGCTCTCTCTCTCTCTCTCTCTCTCTCGCTCTCTCTCTCTCTTGTTCATTCCGTTTATAACTTTGTTATGTTCCTCCTCCCAATATGTTTATGCCTCTGACTGAGTTTCAATTGTTTTACTTTGTAGTGCAATAGGGTCAGGGGTATTACGGAAAAAAACATTTGCCTTACATCATAAAGTTCCCACATAATTACAATATGCCCTCATTGCTATTGTGGTTATGCTTATAATATGAACTACAGAAACCCTATTTGTTTTATTAGAAACCTTTATTATTTTTCGTGCATATTTTGTTATGGTCTTCATAAAACAGAAATGTAATATCAGTGAATCCATTTTGAAGGCAGATAAAAATGAAACTAATACTAAATAAACTGCTTTTATCACATTTATTTTACTGTATTTTTGCAATATTTACATTTGGTAGCAGCAATATTTCCTCGATGTAATCAATGTTATAAACCCTTTAGAAAATATTGTAGACTTTAAATAAGCCTAGTCATTAAAGGTATACACCAGTTTTGGAAACGCCCCCCCCCCCCTCTCAAAAAGCTCTCATTACCAATCATATAAAAGAATATGTTTTGACTTATACGTGATGATACAAATTCTGCCGGTAAACAGCCTACTAATTGATATATTTGGTAAATTATTATATCTATCCGGACTGGATAGATATCGCGTAGTCCAATATACATTTTTATATGTACAGTGCTTGTAACTTTACCAAGACTCGGCCAAATTTCTTATCATTATGATGGTTCTAGAACCTTGCAGTACACTCTAATACTTATATGCTAGATGATCAACCTTTTCTGGTCATTCCACAACGTTTATTTTACAATGCAATCGCATGATCAAACCTGGTCCATACCTTTGATATAACATCATGATCATTTGTCAAATTATCGTTAGTTTGATTTAAATCATCAGTGTCAAAGGTAAATTAAAGTGTAATATTTCTAGAATAATAGTGCCTCAAGGGCAATATCAAATACAATCAAATTTCTTTACCAAATAAGCTTATAAACAAGAATATGTTGATTTCCTTTAATCCATTGCAATAGTATGCTCACACTTATGGGTTCGCGATATAAATGAAGAATAGATATTATATAAAAAACATAGGGAGAATATATTTCATATACATGTATATTTTACTAAAGGCGTCATTAGAGGGACATTTGGAGTGAAACAATGATTCATTAAGTAGACATTGTCATTAGCAGGAAATTTTGGTGTCCTCTTAACGGGTTGTATGTTTTATTTCTCATAGAAGGCCCAATTTTGTTATATTTATCCCTCTCTTTATATGTAATATTACTAAAGGTGTCATTGGAGGGATATTTGGAGTGAAAAATTAGTCATTAAGTAGACATTGTGGTAAGGGTTAGGGTTAGGGTTAGGGTTAATGTATAATGTAGGGTATTATATATATATATACATATATATATATATATATATATATGAAACCCTACATGTTGTATTAACAGGACACCTATATCTAACCCTAAATGGTACGTTAACCGGACATCATAAAAACTGGTATATTACCCTAACCTTAACCCTAACACAAACCCTAACCCTAAAGTCAAAACAATATAACTAATCAAACTAATGACTAGTGATTAGACCTTTTGATTCTAGGCAGGTCTATAAGTTTGCTCTGCCTGCAAACGTACGTAGAGGGCAGTAATTCTATTGTTCAATCGTTAACAAGACACAAAAATGTATAATAACATTGACCATGATAATAATAACCATGTCTACTTAATGACTTGTTTGTCACTACATATTTCCGTCTAATGACGCTGTAAGATGAATATACAGTATAAGGCTACTTACTTCACATTTCAAATCATACAAATCAATAGAACATTAATCTTACAAACATCAAATTTAACTTACAGATATCACTCAACTTTTAAAAGTGTACTTACTTCATTGAGGTAAATCATCTTTTCGTTTTGTTTCTTTACTTTTCTTCCTGCTATTTTGTTTTCGTTTTCTTTTCTCTGATTTCGCTTTCAAACAAATGTTTCAATACAGATTCTCTTTTATCTTTTTACAATTTGTTTGCGTTGTAAAATAACTTAATGTACACTCCAGAATGATATGGTCAGAAATAAATTAGACTGGCAGTTACTTTATATTTTTAGTAAGTGCTAAGATTTGTATGAAAACACGTTGAATATGTAACACACTATACTCATTCTGTATGAAGAGAATGTGCAAATAAAGAAATAGGTGAATAATTCACACGAAACCTATTGACAAGTAGGCGACATTTTACCATCTTCAAACATTGGCATGACCTTAGCACATTTACTGTAAAATAGACCTTAACACATACCCTTCATATTTATAATTAACGCAAAATACACCTTCATACATGCACATGACTATACAAACACTGTTGCTCATGAAGTTTTGAATATATTTTATTACGTGTTTCCATGAAAAGATTGTAACAGTATATTTGTTTCTTGATAAATTCTCATAACTGTATTGATGGATCTTTATGAACCTTTAGATTAATCAATAAAGTTCTAAGAAGATATAAACTGTATCTATCAAGAATAAATGATACTATCACAATTATCTCATGAAAATAGGTAAGAAATGTTATTCCAACTGTGTAGGCATGATAAATATACATATGGGGTAAGGCCAGCTCAGCCTATGGCATCGCGAGGCTACTTAGTTTAAATCAAGAGTTAAAGTATAATGATAATAAATGTCTTGATTTTAAAGGAATATGCATTGCAGCCCGGTGGCTTAATTATAAAATATTTTTGCAAAAGTATTTACATGATAAATAATACACTAAGAAGAATCATAAAAACACATAAAAACAATCTATATCCAGTTGTAAAGCACTCATGAGTGTAGTATATACAGGTGAGTCTACTATTAAAAGGGGAAAGAAAGGTAGAAGAGAAACAGAGGGAAAGAGAAGGATAGAGAGGGAAATGAGAGAGAGAGAGTGGGTGATGAACAGGAAGAAGAAAGAGGGTAGGTGGTCATCCACTTACAATACTATGAAATAACACAAACATTAACAAACGTAGCAAGGTGAATTAGAAGTAAGTTTTACACAGTATATACACACAACATAACCGACAAAAAAATCATGAGAATATGCTGTTGAATGTTTGAGATCGGCCGCTATAACCTTGATATTCACAAATTTCGTGTCTTCTAGAATATTTCGACCTCTTGACAGTGTAAACTTAACTTTTTAAAGTAACTTTTTTACACATTTTTACCAAATGATCTTAAAAATACAATTTTTTTCAAACAGACGTATACTTGATGCAAGATTCATACAAGTATTTGCGATCTAGTCTGATTCAGCATTCTTGGCTAAGTTTAACACAAGTTATTCCTTCTAAAGTCCCTATACTTATCCAACCAACGTACGGTTTACAAGATGTAGATGCGTTGTAGTACCGCTGCACATCCGAACACGGCTTAATTTCACATGTCGAGTGTAGACGCATACAATCCTTCATCCAAGTCATTGAGAGACAGATAATTCTGTGAAAATCAAAAGTAATTAAGATAATAATGATAATAATAACAGCATCTATATTCACCTCAGGAGACAATCATTGGAAGTACAAAGTAGTATTACGACATGAGATTTAGCCCAGCTGTTTTTAGGCGTTGAAAGCATTCAAGGAATAAACTCCAAGTATCACACTAACCCTCACTCTGTCAATTTTATGTTGAAAATAAGAAAGGAATTTCCCCTTTTTTTTCTTTCTTCAGAATTCTATTTAAATTTGAAAATATGAAGAAGAGAAACTTATATGATCATATATGAATATGAAACACACAAATATGTACGGTAGGATATAGTAAATGAATAAACTAAATGACGTAATAAATCATTCCATAAGGAAAAGAAGCTCCAAAGATCACTATTGGTTAAGGGTTAAGGTTATTTTCACGATTCCTTTAGAACTGAGGTTAATGCACTAACGGAATTGTAAAAATTGATATGTAATAAGGAAACTTAATTCTGCATTATACATGTTAGAAGGTAATTTGAGTCAATCTTACATGAGTCTTTTCTAGAATCCTTTCCAAACTCTTGAGGATATGATCAAAGTTACTCCGATTTGTAGCTTCCTTCTCCCAAGAACCAGTCATGACCGTATACCTGAAAGATACGAAACATACGATCCTTATCTAATAGAAATCTAATAGAACTACCGAATTGAATCTAATACAAATACAAATACAAAATTCCGACAAATCTAAAGTTCATGAGCAACAGCAGTTTTATCACTATTGTTTCATTATTTTATGTACGCACCCAGTCCGAATCATTTTACTACACCTTATTGTTTTATTATCATTCTATCAATTTCTCTCTTTGTCTTTCCCTATGTTATTCTTTGTTTTTCTTTTATGACCTTCTCTTATATTATTCATTGTTTTTATCATTCTATCATTTTCTCTGTTGAGTGTTTAGACGTATTATTTTCAGCTTCAGAATCATATTCTTAGGAAAGATTGCAAAATCAAGTGTAATCGTGTTTCTTGTTTTTTGGAAACATCATCATGACATCTAGGAAATACAAAAAAGCATCGAGTGAGTCAAATTATGACGTTTACAGAACAATTCGCATGAAAGAGTAATATTTACACTTCTTGTCCACAATGGCGAGGGCGTGGCATCTGATAACCATTGGCAACCTCCGTTTGAACAGTGTCAAAGGTCATTCTAGGGTATGGCCTTGCACCTTTAAGAAGCGAAGAAAAATAACACTGAAAACGTTTCTTTTCCAAAATACGAAAATGTGACATCCAAAGCTATGGAGAAAATTTAAATTATATCGCAAATATTATTGGTGGGTCTTATAGAGGGGAATAAGTGGCTTGAATTCTTCATCTTTAAAATGCTTCGAACTAGTATTAAACATGGTCTATTTTAATTATTTAAGTGCAAAGGTTTATTTCACTTTTCTTCATAACACCATATGATACACGTGAAGTGAAGGGGTCTTGGTATGGTGTCTAATTCTCTTGACTCTAAATCCGAGGTTCAAGGGTTCGAATCCCAACTCGACACTTACTTCCTTTGGCAAAACATTAATCCATATTCACCACTTTCCACCCACTCCACCAACCTGGCAATGGTAATAATAATGGGAGGGCCCTGATGAAGAACAGCTGTAACGCTTATAAGGCTTCCTATGTGAATGACTTTAGGGTCTTTACGATGGTACACAAAATTATATGTGATATTAACATTAATTTGTTCACTTAATGTCACAATTTCCCACAAGACGATACCAAAAGACCAGATATCTGCTTCTGTTGATGGGTCGCCAGTAACCATGGTTTCAGGCGAACTCCATCTTGTTGGTTTCTGAGATGTTGGAAAGTACAAAGAATGCTAAAAATCGTGTTAACTTTAAAGTTTAAAAGATGGAGAATGAGCGACTTTCTTTGCATTTTTGTTTTATTCATTTTCATTAAACAATGGGTTAATACAAATCGTGAGTAACACCTGATGGCTGAACTGTTCATAATTTACAAACAGCTTTGAATATTCATATTATAAGCAAATAACTACCGTTGGTGAAGGTGATGGGACAAACTATCACTTCCGAGGCGATCTGAAAGTAGCTATTTTCCGAAGCGAAGCTGAGGAATATAGCGTATACATTCAGATCGCCGAGGAAGTGATAGTTTGCCATCGTCTGAAACCAAAAGGTGATTATTTGCTTTATATTCAACATCGGAAACATTTCACTTCTTCCGTCATTTTAGAGCAACAAGTCATAAATTAACATCTAGCAAACGGTGTACGAAACGTACAGTGTATGCAGTATGGTGGTGTGACCATAGTTCGCGCGTGACAAAAGTTCGCGTACTAACACTAAAAGCGCTTGAAGCCAGAGGAGAGCAATACGCAGCGTATACAATTAAAGTGCATTGCACTGTGTAGATACTACTTCTATATTCAGTGAAAGTGCGTTGCACTGTGTAGATAGTACTACTATCTACACATTAGAACGAACTTTTCTTCTCCCATCAATGAAGGGCGAACTATCTTTCATCACGCGATTTATTTTTTACCAATCGTAGAGCAAGAGCACCGTTTGCTAGCTGTTAATTGATGACTTGTTGATCTGAAATGACGGAAGAAGTGAAATATTTCCGATATGGAATATAAAGCAAATAATCACCTTTTGGTTTCGGGCGATGGCAAACTATCACTTCCTCGGCGATCTGAATGTATACGCTATCTTTCATCAGCTTCGCTCCGGAAAGATAGCTACATCCAAATCGCCTCGGAAGTAATAGTTTGTTCCATCACCTTCACCAACGGTAGTTATTTGCTTAATATTGCAAATGGCAAAACTATTCAAACACCACGGTCAATCAAATTAATGATTAAGTAGTTTAAGGGGAATTGAATAAACGTCATAAATCATAAACAAATATTCCATGGTCGCGATTTCCTAGTTTAAATTTGTTAGATATATTTCTTTTGAGAAAAAAATGTAGTCCTCATTATTGTATACGTGCCATATCTATGCTGATGATATATCATTAAATGTCAGCGATAATACTCACACCTCTGGCGCTAAATAGTGATGAAGATAGTCCATAATCTGATAGCTTGCATTGCTTTCTACCGCCTAGTAACACATTGTGAGCGCAGAGAGTTCCATGGACGATCTTAGTACGAAAAAAAAAATTGAATAACCATAACAATAGTAGTAATAACAAATAAATAAATACATAAAAAACGATAATCTGGATGTCTCACCCTAGCTCATCATCACCATCTTCCAACTATACTCGCTTCCTTATCTCCTATTCTTCCACTTTCTACTTCTACTATTCTCAGTCTCATCCTCCTCGCACTTATCGTCGACCTCAACGTTCTTACTATCAACCCCCCCCCCCCCCCCACGGTCTCCTCTTCTCCGCTTTTCTAACATTCTTCATGCCATATACTCTTCGGTAACCTCGTCATCGATAACTCGATCCTATTGCGGCTTTCTCAATTGCTCCTTATTGTTCTCCTATTGTGTTTTTTTTTTTAATCTACAGGTTACCTTCATTGATTCAAGAAACTGTATCTCTCTGACGTATTTCCTAGCAAAGTTTAGTGGACTACTTTCATCTATGCAGCTCCTTTTCACCCATGCTTCCATTTTCCCATATTTTTCTCTCCTATCCCCTCCCATCGGTTCCCCTTTTCTTTAGTACCTTCTCTCTTATTGCAAGTCATTAAATCAGGTTACCTTCTTCGATGCAAGATACTGCATCCCTTTTGCGATTTGCCAAGCCAGGTTGAGTAGACTAGCTTCATCGATACGAACCCTCTTTGGTTTGAGATTGCTGTATGTGGGCTGGGATTGCACCCCTGTGGTCTGTAGATGGGTAAGTAGGGTACCCCCACAGATGAACTCATACATAATGCTACCTGCATCGTGGGGAATTCGTTAATTGAAAACAAAAATTAATGAAACTGACCGTAACATTATTGTAACGAACCAGTTCGCCACAATTGTAGTTATCTTGCAGAAAACGTAGAGGGCGCAGTAAGCTTTTGGGGCGTAAGGGCTCAGAGCGCGATTACGGACGCACCATGTGTAAAGCAGCTCTCGGAGACTATAAATAGTGGTGTTGTGCGGGGAATTCGTTACTTCGACGCTGGCTCTCGTCGTTGTCAGATAGCGAACTCTCCGCTCCGCTCCAATGGAGCTAAAATAAGGAAAAGGATTGGAAACGAGAAATAGAGTTCCTACAAAAGGCAATTCCTGCCTTTACTACTTGTTGAGATTTATCAAGGTAATCGGTGTCGGTGTTAAAAAAAAACGCTCGCGTTAGTCAGGATGGCAAACTTTTCGTCGGATGACGGTGATAGAGGCAAGGGACAGGCCAGCCCTCCAGCATCCAGGACCCGTTCTAGGATGGAGGGCCGTAACATTATGTTTCATCAGACATCATGTTACAGTATAGGAAAATATCTTGCTTAATCTTTTAAATACTTTCCACTGTCTGTTATTCCAAGGTCCTCTTGTTTTACTGGTTCAATCGTTTTGGGTTCCGCGAAGCCTACTCAAATTGCTATGTACTTTCAGGGTTGCTAGAATCGATAAACTGAACTTTTGTCCTCCGAATTATCTGGAAAAGACGCTCATATTCCTAATAATATGTATAGAATTAAGCAGACCAAAACAAAACATTTTGTAATTGCGAGAGGAGATGTTTTTACCTTGTTCTTGACAATATCCGAGGCACTTGACAACATTCGGTTGATCCGGTAGCTCAGAAAGGACCTTCACAGCTTCAAGAACGTTATTTGATTTGGTCACTTGATCTAAGGGAAGATACATCCTACATATAACTACCACATTTGCTTTCAATTTCGAAGGGAGTAGTGGGTTAAAGTCATTGCAGAACAAGTTAATCATTCATTTGTTATTAAGATCGAGTGAAAAACAGTGTAGACAAGTGAATACAATATATTTTTACTGCTACCTTGTTTGGCGTTCAACAATAAGGGATAGAGCAACGTCGATCTGGCGCTACTCAGCGGCTGCCGGGCTCACAATCAATTGGGCAAAAAGAATTTCCATTTTCGGTTTATCTTAATAAAATATGGAGTGGACTTTAAAAGATTATTATTATTATTTTATATTATTATTATATACAAATATATATTTATCAATTGAAAACCTAAATGTGAATAAATATATATATATTTATTCATATATACACACATATATAAACATACATACATGGTGTACTTTTAAACGGATGTGTTACTTTGTACGCTTGTTTTGGTCCTACTGAAATAAAACTTTCTAGAAAGCTGAGAGCATCTCTGCTTATCAATAATAACACAACATCTGGTAAAGTTCCAAGTTATTTTAGGCTACATTGATATTTATTAAAGCGATTTGCCTGTCGGTCTTTTAAAATCATTTTTTATAGGGAGTTGTTGGCAAAACCCCACCTGGAATCTGCCTTATACCGACGTCTACTTGACTTTGATTCGAGCGGAGTTCTCCCTTCCATACCCCACCGAAGTCACCCCGTCCAATCGAACCGAGTCTGGTGAAGAACGTCAGGTTTTCAGGAGCAATGATGGGAGAGTGGGATGGACCGAGTTTGAGAGATGTGTATGCTATAAAAACATAAATAAATATTATAACGAGGCTTCTAATACTTGAATGATTAAACACGTATAATATTTCCCTGAATACTTTTCGCACATTCGGGGAACTGGGCTAAAGCCAGAGTAATATAGTACTGTGTAGGCGCTTTGAGCATCCCCTGGATAAAAACGTGCGTTCCTATGGTTATGAGAACTTTTTCTATGTTTGTTTTCCCACGTACAAAGCCATTAGTATCTTTGCTTATTTTTGTTAATTGTTGATTATTTGAATTTATGTTTTTTCTTTGTAGCATTCTTCATTATAAACACTGTGATGACTTTACACATTTTCTCACCTCTATCTCCGTTTTGAATCATCTCAAACGCCATGTTGTCGTTTGCCTCATGAGATACATTTCTTCCTTTTCTGTGAAAAACAAATAGTGAGATGTTTCTTAATAAGGCATTTATATTGATAGTGTACTGTTTATTGTACAGCGCCATCTCATAGCCATCTCACAGTACTAATTTCCAAATAGTCGTAATCATCAGAGCAGTTTTGCTCGGTGTATGTGTTATAGTACATAGCTAATCATTTTCATTTGAAAGTTGTAATAGAAGTACAAACTCGAGTTTCACTTTATTTTTTAACATATTTAACATGTAAACACATAATAAATGATATCATCTATACATTTGGTGGTTTCTCATATTTCACTACATCCGAATATTGGTGTATGTGTGTGCGTGTGTGTGATGGTGGTGGGTGTTTGAATATATACCTGTGTGTACTGATGTGCACATTTGAGTCCTCGATTAAAACCAGAAATGTGTAGGTGTGTCAATGCGTGAGCGTGGGCGCCCACCCATACGCACTCATGTGTTTGTGTGATCGATATCAATATATACTGATCAATATTACGAACTGCTATGTACTAACCTTGAATTGGTTTTCTGTGACTCTTTAAAACATGTAAAAAGAAACAAAAAATGAAGAAGCAAATATAGAAATCTTGATAAATTTTCTACGCACAAAAGAGGTATATGGCACATTTATCAACAAGGAAGTAAACTTTAGTCTCAAGTAGATATGCATAATCCTGAGGTATTGATATGGTATGGGTCAATACATTCAGGAGATGATAGACGTTACGATAATCAAGAAAAAAAAAACTTCGCTATCAATTTTCAGTATCATGTTCAATACTAAGTCAATGAAGAGTAAATACAAACATATAACGTGAACCGGCTTTATACACTTACAAGCTATCAGTTTCGTCAGCTTGCTCAGGATATTCTGATAATTATTAGTTTATCATTGATGATTAAATTCCTCATACATTTTATAATCAGAATTTACTTCGTCGAATGTGTATGTGAACAGCCAAGAAACTGCCTTAAAAATCCTCCATATATATATATATATATATATATAGTAGAATCAAATCATTACATTTCTATTCATGTTCATGAGAAAGTAATGCAGTAGCTATGACTATTACGCACCTCATTTTTTTTCCGAATGATATTCTGTGAAAGTATAAACAGCTTTCATTTCTATGAATTGTTTGTTAATACATTCTGGCGTTATTCATTATATAGAAAGCTAAGTAAATCAGTAATACAAGTTGAAGAACACACATCATTTACATGGAAATCTGATAAGTGATATTATTGATGTGCACCTATATTCAGGTTTCTAGAACATATCACGTATAACACGTACATGTACGAGTCAGGATTTTAAGCGAGTCAGGATTTTATGCTGGAATAGTGATTTTTTAGCGGTTTTTAGACCTTGTTTTACACATGTTCGTCAGTCACTAAAGTCTATTCTATCTGGCCAGGACTCGATGAGAGCAAGTATTAAAGAACTGAAAACCAAGCAAGTAGAGCTGGAAAACTCTATTGAGTTTCAAGCCGCTAGAACAAGTGTGGTTGAGAGAAAAGTGACGCCCCTCACAAAGCGAATGTCTTCATGTGAGGCTGACATAAAGCACCTCCAAGACGTCAACAATAAGCTGGAGAGACACTCTCGGAAGTGCAATCTGATCCTCTGTAATTATGGCCCAGAGAAAAAAGACGAAATCCCCTCAGGAATAGTGAATAGTGTTTTGAAGGACCACCTCGACATCGACACGAAAGTGGAGATAGCCCACAGACTTGGAAAGAAGAAGGATGGTTCAACAAGACCCATCATCTTCAAGGTCGGCTCTGTGGAAGACAGGGATAGGATCATTCGAGCCAAACGCAAGCTGCAAGCAGCAAAGGTACCTTTCTACATTAAGCAGGATGAGACACTTGCAGACCGTAAGGTAAAACAGCAACTGAAAAACGTCGCATCTGAAGCATACAACTCAGGCAAGAAAACTCTGTTCAGAAATGGCAAACTCTTCATCGATGGAGTGGAGTTCAAACCCCCTAATGATCCCATCGCGGACGCATCAGCTAGTAGTAGTAAGGAGAATTTGTAGGATAACGATGGCTATTCCCAGCTTGGTGTCGCCTGTTGGAATGTTGGCGGTTGGTCGGATACATGTTCAATAAGGAAAAGCATCCTTGTGAAATGTGATTTTGATATTATTTGCCTAGTGGAAACTCACCTTACTAAAAGTCAATCAATTTCAGTTCCCAATTATGTGTGGTTGGGTCATGACCGACTACATCTGCATAAAAATGCTAGGAAAGGATCCGGTGGGGTTGGATTTCTGGTCCACCGTCGCATTCTTCGCTCATTTTCACTAAAGTGTGTGGAAAAATCATATGATGGAATTATGTGGCTTCAACTGAGAGATAAGCGGCAAAACGATTCATTTTATATTTGCATATGTTACCTACCCCCAGAGAACTCGAGCAGAGGTGGACATGCAGAAGAGTTTTTTGATAAGTTGTTTTCAGGATTGTACAAGTATAAAGATCTGGGTAAAATCCAGATATGTGGTGACTTTAATGCCAGAACCGGAGGTTTACAAGACTTTATTGAAGGCATAGACCCAATGAGACAGAGAAAGACTATAGACTTTGAAGTAAATTCTCAAGGTAGACTGTTTGCAGATTTTTGTGTAACCTCAAATTTTTGCTGTCTGAATGGTCGATATACAAATGATAATTTTACCTGTGTGTCCTACAAAGGAAAATCAGTTGTGGACTATTGCATTGTACCTTACCATGACATAAATTTGTATTTCAATTTTGATGTTTTGTTAGTTGCTGATCTACTAGACAAACACTCAATCCCAGTGGTGGGTTCAGTGCCAGATCACTCAATACTATGTTGGCATTTTTACAGAAAAACAGTGTGTAGAAATAGTGATAACCAGATGCACTCTAAACCCAGTTTTCAAAATTTATCCAAGCGATACCAACTGAATGATATTAATGATTCCTTTATGTCCGATGAAGAAAGTAAAAATGCAGTAAGTGAGCTTATAAGTAAACTTAACTGTGGTCTATCATCGCAGGAACATTTGGACGATGTGTATTATGGCTTTGAAAAAGTAATCCAAAAATGTGTTCATAAATGTTGTAGGGAAAGGAAAACTAGTAGACCCCAAAAAGGTCTTCCCCATTCACCTAAGGTCTGGTGGAATGATAATCTGCAATCGTTATGGAATTGTGTTAAATGTAAACAAAAGGAATGGTTGAAGTGCAAGAATACTGAGGGTAAAAAAGTGATGTTTATTGATTACAAAAATGCACATAAGATTTTTGATAAAGCGGTCAGAAAAGCTAAGAGAGCTTACCAGTATAAAAAAATCAATGCTCTTGATGCAATGGTAAATAAAGACTCTTGTTCATTTTGGAAAGAGATTGGTCGAATAGGGTCAGATGAAGAAAAGAAGTACCAAAATATACCAATGGAAATAATAAATGATGATGGAGAAATAAGTGAAGACTATGATAATGTTATGAGTAAATGGGAAAATGATTTCCATTCTCTGTTTAAAGATAATGGCAGTGGTTTCGATGATGGGTTCTTATCACATGTTAACACACAGTTGAAAATCCTAGAGTGTAATGTTCAAGAATCTGATACTAGAGGAAATGATTTAAACCTTCCTATTGAATTAACAGAGGTGACTGCAGCTGTAAAGAGGGCAAAATTAAACAAAGCTGCCGGAATAGATGGTATCGTTTCGGAGATGGTAAAAAACAATGCTTCAATACAATTCCTTCATGCCCTCCTCTCCTTTTGTTTTGAACGTGGTATTTCCCCTACAGCTTGGCAAAAAGGCATAATCCATCCAATTTTAAAACCTGGAATGGATGAACGTGAACCATTAAGCTATAGAGGTATAACTCTGATATCGGTGATATGTAAGATTTATTGTGATATCATAAGAGAAAGACTAACTCATTTCCTTGAAAAAGAATGTATTATTAAGGAAGAACAGAATGGATTCCGTAAGAAAAGGAGTTGTCTCGACCACCTGTACAGTCTTTACTCTATGATTGAAAACAGAAAGCTTTGTAAAAAAGACACTTTTGTTTGTTTTATAGATGCAAAAAAAGCTTTTGATCGAGTTAATAGATCTTTGCTATGGTACAAGTTGAGATTAATTGGTGTTCATGGTAAGCTTTACAATTGTATACAGGCTCTTTACCGGGACACTACGTGTACTGTGAATGTTAATGGTAATCATACTAGTTTTTTTAAAGTAGAGTCAGGGGTCAAACAGGGTTGCCTTTTGTCTCCCGTTCTTTTTAACATTTTCATTAATGATTTAGTTGACAATGTCATGCTATGTAATGGGGGGATTCAAGTACTAGATACAAATATTGACATGCTTATGTATGCAGATGATATTGTGGTACTTGCTGAAAATGAAAATGACCTTCAACGTATGTTAGACAATATTGGCGCTTGGGCTCGCAAGTGGAGGATTGAATTTAATGCCTCAAAAACCCAAATTGTACATTTTAGACAGAAGTCCCAAGCTAAAACCTCAGCACTATTCAATTGTAATGGAGAAAAGCTTGATATTGTGGACTCCTACAAATACCTTGGGCTGTGGTTTGATGAATTCCTTAGCTTTCAGAAGGGTACCAGAATGCTAGCTCAGTCTGCATCCAGAGCATTGGGTGTTGTTATAAGTAAATTCAAATTGATTGGAGGCTCTTTATTCAAGACATATAAAAAACTTTATGATGCCATGATTTTACCCATACTACAATATGCAAGTGGTATCTGGGGTGTGGATGAATATTCTGTTATAAATAGTGTCTTTTTCAGAACATGCCGTTTTTACTTAGGAGTGGGGAAATATACACCTAACAATGCAGTGTTAGGGGAGATGGGTTGGGACCCACCATTCTATCACCAAATTCAATCGGTTGTTAGATTATGGAGTAACTTAAGTAAACTCAATAGTGACCGCTACCCAAGTAAAATCTTTTCTTGGTCTAAATCTCTAGCAAACAATGGAGTCAAAAACTGGTGTTTCAGAGTCAAAGAGCTTTTTTCAAAATTACAATGTGTACATGTTTTACCTTTAGCTAATCTTGTTAGTACAGACAATTTTGTAAAAACTGTGTCATCGTCATGTAAATTATTTATCGAGAATAGATGGAGAAATTCAATTTTTGACGATAAAAGGAAGAAAGCTCATGCTAAAAATAAACTTAGAACTTATCGAAATTTTAAACAATCTTTGAACACGTCAAAATATGTAATAGAATGTCAAAATAAATCAAACAGACGTGCTTTGGCTTTGTTTAGATGCGGTTGTGCCCCTATAGCTCTTGAAACTGGGCGTTATCAAAATGTCCCATATGAAGAAAGATACTGTGTTTTTTGTAATTCTAGTAACATAGAAGATGAGTTCCACTGTTTTATGATTTGTTCTGCATATAATGACATCAGATCACAACTTCTTTATGATATAATAGAACATGACCATACGTTTTCAGATCTTTCCACATACCAACAATTTATTTACCTAATTTCAGCTGACTCACTAAGCAGTTTAATAGCCAGTTTTGCAAACCAAATCCTAACAACTCGCCAAGAACTTTTGTACTACTTAAATGAATAATTTTTTTTTTTTTTTTTTTTTTTTTTTTTTTTTCCCCTGTGATTGTAATTATGTTATACTTATATTTGTACTATGTTATCATGTCAAATTGTTTATGACTGTTATTTTTGATGTATCACTCATAGGCCTTTTTAGGCCGGCCGTCTGATGACGGGTGTGATTTTTTAATAAAGAAATAAACTAAACTAAACTAAACTATCAATATAAGGTACGTTTTAGGGGTAAGTCTGCCAATCTTTCTTGAAGGGTAACCTTTCCATTAATAAATAAATAGATTTGTGGGTTTCAATTCTAGGACTAGTTCGAGGGCTATTCCCCACCCCCTACCAAACTCCACTCTTTTTAATTAAACCAAATTCATAATAAAAGGAAATGATGTCAACTTTATGAAAATATAGTTATAGCCATTGTTATCTGGAAGGTGGGATCTGGTTCAAACACAAGTCGAGCATGCGTGGGGTGGGGGGGGTAGCTTAGGTGTAAACCTGATGTTGTTGCTTGTCTTCTCCACACAATGACTTGAATGACGGTGATGATGATAGCTACAACTAACAGGGTGGCAAAGACAGCGATGCCTGCAGAGGCACCAGAACTCAGACCCTTACAGTCACACGGAACAGGAGCCGGCTCTGTTACAATTAGGAATATCAATTAAACATAATTAATAAGAATAATACAAAATAAAAATTAATACAAGAATAATAAAAACAGAAAGCAAACGAATCCTAACTGCCCTTTCAGTTCATGATATATTTTAACTCATCAGATAACCAGCAAAAAAGTTCCCTATTCGTATTAAATCAAATACAGTTTAACACATATAATACATTGTACCAAAAACGGGAAATCCCAAACCCAAAACCCAATTGAAAAAGGAACTTCGGGGGGGGGGGAAGAATCAGACCCACTCGATACGTAGTTTATGACTCGATATTTGATAACTATTCAACCTTGCCACAATAGTATACATATTCTAGACTTTGGGAAATACACAAAAGAGTCTCCGAATCAATATTTACACACTGTGTATTCAGTTTCACGTGCAATACATACATGTACAAATCGGCGTTGGTAGAGCAATTTAACGAAATCGGAAAGGAAGCCTATAAAGGAAACCTATTGAATGCTTGTTAATATGCAGAATAGTTGTTTTTGACAACCTTATCCTCTTTAGTTTCAAAATCGAAATTTGTTTAGGGTCTTATATCACAACAAAAACTAAATCAGGTATTTGTTGAAATGTCTCATATCAAGAAACAAAAACAAACAGTTATTTTAGATTTTCAAAAACATATATTTGAATTACTACTTACGTTATCTTCCCTTATTATTCCACCACCACCACTACTACTAATACTACTGTTCCTTTTTACTACCTTTTCTCCTACTACTAATACTACCACTATTCCTACTACTACTACTAATCTTACTACTACTACTACTACTACTACTACTACTACTACTACAAACAAATCATAATGCTACTCCTCCTCCTCTTCCTACTACTACTACTACTACTACTACTACTACTACTACTACTACTACTACTAATACCACCACTACTAATACTACCACCACCACCACCACTACTACTACTAATACCACTGTTCCTTTTTACTACCTTTTCTCCTACTACTAATACTACCACTATTCATACTACTACTTCTACTACTACTACTACTAGTACTACTACTACTACTACTTCTACTACTCCTACTACAAACAAATCATACTGCTATTCCTCCTACTCTTCCTACTACTACTATTGCTACTACTACTACTATTACTACTACTACAACTACTACTACTACTACTACTACTACTACTACTACTACTACTTTTAGTGCTACTACTGCCACTAATACCACCACTACTAATACTACCACCACCACCACCACCACTACTACTACTAATACCACTGTTCCTTGTTACTACCTTTTCTCTTACTACTAAAACTACCACTATTCCTACTACTACTATAACTACTCCTACTACCACCACTATTCTTACTACTACTAATCATACTATTACTACTACTACTACTACTACTACTCCTACTACTACTACTACTACTACTACTACTACTACTATCACTACTTCTATCATCACTATTATTTCTGCTATTACCACACTTCCTATTTCTGGGGTACAAGTAGTTCATAAAATACATAATACTCTTTCACAACATTTTTTTAAATAATTAATTATATCAATGACTGACCTAAAAAAGTTGACCTTACCCCCCCCCCCCCCAAACGGAGGAAAATCTCAATTTTTCAAATTTCGAGATAAAAAAAAAGAAAAAAAGTATCCTCTTAGCCCTCCCCCCTCGCTTATCCCTCGCTTATTCAGCGGCTAGCTGAGTCGTTGCGATTTTTGTTAGGACCCCCCCCCCCCAAAAAAAAAAAAGTGTCCTCTTAGCCCCCCCCCCCCCCCCCCGGTAAAAAAGTACAATATTTGTTTAGTTTTGGTCCCTTTCTTTTGTGAATAATACGTGCCTGATTAGGAACTATGCGGTCTGGTAGTAACTTTGCACCTATGCATTAGTCATTGACATTATGTACATGTACAGGGATTTAACCAAAAACTCTGAATGTATAGTGACATACACCGCAGAGACAGAAAATGGGATTTCATTATCATGGCGTACATGTATACATTCCAAATTAAACAACTGTTTTCCTTTAACCGATGGATCCTCTCTAGGTACCGGTATACAGTGTATGTAACACAAAGATTAAGTACACTGCTAACTTGAATGAAAAGCTACACAGGCAGAAACTACATTAACGTTCAGTAAAATAGACTGTTCAAAGTTTCTATAAACCCACCTTCTACTTTCAGTTCTGCATCGTCCCGTCCTTGTCCTTCAATACATCTATACACTCCTTCATCTTCTATCGCTGTATTACTGATGGTCATAGTGGATGTACCCTCAATTTCTGATACCAGCACATTAAAATTGTCATATTTCGTTTCGGCAGGATCATAAGTCCTATCTTCACCAGTGAAAATAAGAACATTCGGAATGGCTGAAAGATCTGTCCATGTGAAGGTTCCTATTGGTGGAACTCCAGTACAGGTGTAAACTGTATCACTCCCTTGCTGTACTACAGAAGGACCTGTCACAGTTTGGCCACATATCGCTGAAATTAGGAAGAGAGATTTTGAAAATATAGATTAACCACTACAGACTACAGTAAGTACCCGGTACCACTTAAAGGTAAAGACCAGTATTGGAAACGCCCCTATTTCAAAAAATGAAATGGAAGCTCTTATTACCAATCATGTGAAAGAAGATGTTTTGACTAATACATGATGATAACAAATTTGCCGGGAAACCGCCTACTAATTGATATATTTAGTAAATTAGTTTGTCTACATGGTCTGTGAAATATAAACGCACGTGTCGCGCACGTGTGCGTATAGTCCCATATACATCTTTCTGTGTACAGTGCTTGTAACTTTAAGACTGGGCCATATTTCTTATCATTTTGATGATTCCAGAACCTTGCAGTACACACCAATACTTATATTATGCTAGATGATCAACCTTTTCTGATCGATTCCACAACGTTTCTTTCACAATGCAATCGCATGACCATAACTGGTCTTTAACTTTAACATAATGAAATATTTCATTGCATCCCCCTCCCCCCCCCCCTAATAAATGTTCAAAATTGTTAAATGAAGAAAAACAAATTTGAGTAATTAAAGTTTTTTTTTTATATCCGTAGCTAATTCAATCAATTTTGCGAATACTCATCTAAATGGTGTTAAGAATATTTGCTATTATACTTTGTACACAATGTAATACACGTTGTGATGGTCTTATTATATAAATTATGCATGTGCTGTGTGGTCATGTTGTACTGTAAGTGTCATGTAATGCAACAATGGTGTCATGCTTCTGATCTGGTTTCTGATCCACATGTACAAAATGTTCCCTACATGTATTTAGAAGCTAGACCTGATGCTTATTCGTTGAAGTTGAAATTGAAAGGAAAACATTTTTGTGCTCCAGTACGGTTATACGCTAACAGTGTATCCACTTTTCAGATTTTGATATGGTTATCTGGCGATGTGAATCAGAACCCAGGCCCTGTCACACATAACTCGGCCTCCTCGGATAACGATAACAGTACAAGGTATTCTATATCATAGAAGTATGACAGTAAAACACTTCACTCTTTTAATTCGCGTTCATGCTCGCTACTGTGGCGTGAACAGAATGAGGAATTATGTAATATGATTATGTCTTTAGGTATTAACAGACATGACATAGGGCGGAAGACACATCGAGGTATGAAGGGGGGCCGTGATCGTTTTAATAACAACCTCAAATTTGGTATGTTGAATTGCCGTTCTGTTCGTAATAATCTACCTTATTAGAGGAATTTATTATTGACCATAGTTTAGATTTTACATGTGTTTGCGAAACTTGGCTAACTGTATCAGACGATGCAGCGATTGCTGATCTTTGCCCTCGTGGTTATCTGTTCAAGCACCATCCCAGAGCTGCTAAACGTGGCGGCGGGGTCGGCTTTCTCTACAGGGACAGTCTCCACGTCGATATTAGTCCACCAGGCAAATTCGAAACCTTTGAATCAATGTCTGGAACTGTATCTGGCGGCTCTACACAGGTTGACATTATAGTCATATACAGACCACCAGGATACCAGTCTTTCACTCAGTTTCTTATCGACTTCTCTGCGCTTCTTGATGAGAGGTTGTGCAAACTATACCCACTTTTGATCACCGGAGATCTAAACATCCATCTAGATAACACTTCATCCCAGCATACACTCAGGTTTGTGGACCTTATTAACAATCATGGCCTATCCCAATTGGTTAGATCTCCGACTCACGACAAAGGTCACATTCTGGACGTCGTTCTGATGCGCAATTCAGACAATTTGTCAATTTCGAAGCCAAGTATCGTTCCAGGTATATCAGAGCATGCTGCTATCACTTGTGTACTTCGCTTCACTAAGCCTGCACGCAGCGACAGAACATTTGCTTCCCGTAATATTATAGACATAAACAGGATAGCCTTCGCGAAGGATGTTGCTGAGAGCGACATTATGCCCTTAACGTCAGAGAGTGTCAACACAGCGACTAGTCGTTACAACACCATTCTTTCTTCGCTCCTCGATATTCACGCTCCTGCCAAGATCCGCAAGGTTCGAGACCGTCAGGACAATCCCTGGTACAACGGCGAGATTACTGCTGAGAAACGTAAACGTAGGCAGCTTGAGCGGAGATGGCGATCTAACGGCAAGCTTCACATTGACAAAGAGATGTTCCGTGAGCAACGAGATTTCACGAACTCTCTCGTCGAACGAGCCAAACGTTCGTACTTTGTCGGGCTAATCGATAAATGTGGACATGACTCTAAGAAACTCTTCTCTACGGCCAATCGTCTCTTGAATCGGAAACAGAACTCTCCACTTCCAAGACATGCTGATAGTAAAGAACTGGCTCAAAGATTTATTCAGTTCTTCCGCTCCAAGGTTCAGAAGATCCAGGACAGTCTCACTCCTGACTTAACTCCACCTGATCCTGTCACGTCAGCATCCCTCGAGACGATTCAACCTACCACCTCTGATGAGATACAATTACTGCTTCAAAGATTGCCAGCTAAGTCGTGTAAACTAGACCCGGTCTATACTGTTCTCATTAAGGATTGCTCCTCTTCATTTGCATCTGTTATCTCACAGATTGTCAACTTAAGTATCGTTCAGGCATGCGTACCTTCTGTTCTTAAAACGGCACACATTCTTCCTTTACTGAAGAAACCCAATCTTGATTCTGAATTACTAAGTAATTACCGTCCAGTTTCTAATCTCCCGTTTTTATTTAAAATACTTGAGAGGGTGGTGTTCTCTAGATTAAATGATTACTGTCTCGATAATGATCTCCTTGACTTTATACTCCAGGAGATGGATGGCGGAAAAGTAACTGCTATGGTACTCCTTGATTTGTCTTCCGCCTTTGACACTGTTAACCACACTGTTCTGGTGAATACCCTCATGTCACTCGGTATTAAAGGTCAAGCCCTGGAATGGTTTAAATCATACCTGTCGTGCCATTCTCAAGCTGTCTTGATAAACGGCTGCCTTTCAGATTTTGTACCACTTACATGCGAAGTTCCACAAGGCTCTGTGGGCGGGCCCACGCTTTTTTCGTTATATTTAACGGGTTTGAAGAGTATTTTTCATCACCATTCTCTCTCTCATCATGTTTATGCTGATGATATTCAAATATATACTTCTTTCCAACCCAATCAGAGCAATGCAGCCAGCGCTATCCATAACATTGAGAGTTGTGTACAAGATGTTCATAATTGGTTAAACTCACCAGTCCTCAAATCACTCTATTGTTTGCCCGTAGAAAAACGTGTTGTTTTCAAGATTATTTTGCTATTATTTCACTGTATACATGGCTCTGCTCCGCAGTATAACATCGGCTTGATCAAGCATTACTTTCCTTCTAGACAGCTACGTTTTCAAAACCCAGGCTTACTTGTTACTCCTAGGGTTAAAACAAAGTGGGGGGAGCGAACCTTCGCTCATGCTGGCCTTCGTTATGGAATACTCTCCCTCAATGGGTTAAGAATAGCAGTTCTGCTGAAGTGTTAAAAAACAATCTTAAGAAATATCTGTTTAATTTAGCTTATAATTGATTACCATTACCTTTCATGTCTGTACCTTTCCTATCGCACTTAGTATAAATGTATCATGTATGTATTTCATCTTTTGCACAAGCTGCGCCTTGAGAATTTGACTGTCAAGTGGATTTGGCGCCTTATAAATCATATGTATTATTATTATTATTATGTGTTAACTCGTTTCTTCATGGCAGTACATTATTTTAATAGTAATGATGTAGACCTAGGATCTCAGTTTAAACTGGAGAAAATAATTTAGTAAAATCACCAAGTGTACCCATCCATGATCCTGCACTTCTTCAGTTTGTCTTCTTTTTTTGTGGAGGAGGCGGGGGGGGTGGGTAACACTTACCACTTGCCATCTAGTCAAAGACAAATTTTTATCCCATTATTTGAATGAGCAGAACCCTTGAAACGTCTTTTAAAATGGAAGGGATAATTACCTTGGATTAAAGCTAGAAATATGAAAATAGTTGATCCACAGTCCATCGCGTATAGATAAGAGACTTTCCCTTTAAGATTCTTGGGGGATGCCCCGACAGCAATGAGCCTTCTTTCACTTTCGAGTATCCAGTTGATGAAATATCCTGTATGAAAAACAAACAAATATAAAGTATAATCAGGAGAATATGACAATATATATTCCACTCTAGATTCGATCAACAATCAGTAGATCTGGGCTACAGGCGAGGATCCAGGTGGCGGGAGGGAAGGGGGCCAAAGAGTGGGCCCGGTTCTTGTGAAAATATTGAGCGGCGAAACAGTCAGCCGGTGAACAAGTGTGTGTGTGTGTGTGGGGGGGGGGGGTTACAAATAGTTCATTTTTTTTCCTTCCGAGAGGATTGATGCCTCCTGCACGAATGTTCCAATTTGAGCAAAATAATAATAATAATAATAACACCTACCTTATTATGGACGGTATTTCTTCTTATTATTTACTCATCAAAATAAAGTAGATAAGAAATAAAAACTACATTAATTTTTGTTAGAAAAACACTGTTCGGATGTGGAGGTTATATTACCCGAATATTGGTATTTTACCAAATAATCAGAACTGCATGCACTACTCCCCGCCCCATCCTCATACGCCTATGATAATAAACATATATCTATATATCTGCCCTATGAGTGTAAGACACTAGATGGCTTCATGAGAAACATCATTATAAAAAACCGACACCTAATTACAATGTTTTCTCTTTGAGAATGTTTTGTCTCGTTTTACGGGACTTTCAAAGTAATTTTGTCATAACATTTATTATGTTTATGTAAGCGCCTGAAACACCATCTGGGTGGATATGTTTGACATCCTATTTAATTCCTACATTTTTTTAATTAATTACTTAATTCTGATGTGTCAAATGGAAATTTATAATACTCATTAATATTCTGACGTTTCACGCACATTTAGTTGAAAAATGTAGAGATGGTGGGCTTGTGGAAAAATCTCGGGACTGCGAACCGCAGGGTACAGGGATGCTGCCCCAGAACTTATGTCGCTTGGCAAGACATTTATCTACACACGCTACACTCCACTCAGATGAGGTAAATAGGTACCTGAAATGAATAAGTTCGTTAAAAGGCTTGAGCGCTGAATGGCAGCCGTGTTAAACAGTGATAACAACGGGGCATAGAATGGCATTGTGCCAGGCATGAGCGCTATGACCTCACGCATACTCTATGTATAGTCGAACGGTTCGTATTGCTTAATTTCAAACCGCAATATTGCAGACAACTTACCAGCGTTAAAAATCCGAAAAAGTGCAAAATGGTTCTCATATATTGCCGTTACATTTCTAGAGCTGGCCAGTCGACTTCTGTAAATGATCAATCATACGATTTGGTTGTTAGCTGGTTTAAGAAGCCAGGAATGTATAATGCAGTGCTCAGGGGAGAGTCCAATACAAACAAAGTTGAAGTCTACTCTGATGACACGCGAGATATATGTATATTGCCCAAACAATTGAAAATTGAAACTTTTAAAGTGATTTATAAGAAGTTTTATTTTTAATTTAATTTTTGTAAATATTTTTATCTTTATTGTACTTTGTTGTATATATATTTTTTTAAATTATTTTATTAAAATGTATAATACAATAGTATGTTATTTTTAATGATACTTACATTTCTGAGTTATTACTATTTTGTTTTAATTTTATGTCAACATATGCAGTTAAATTATTTGAAACGTTGTTATATATTTCACATGTGATTTGCTTTTTAATGTTAACAGGACCATGTTGAAAAACAGTATACCTGAACATATTATCCTGTATAAAGATGTTTTAATAAATAAATAAATAAATGATAGGCCTACACTGAACCTGAGTGAAAATATTTTTATAAGGTCTTTATTTTGCCTAACGCGTAATTTGGATAATGACCGGTCATTATCCAATTTCAATGAACGGTCGTTAGTAAAATCATGTTATAAAATATCATTTTATAAAAAACAAATGAAACATAATCTTATACACATCATTTTGTTCGGGCATTAGTAAAATTACCCTCACTCGGTCCAAACACCCTCGGCCACCGCCTCGGGCGTGTTAGCCTGTTCCAACGGTAACTTGTGTTGGTAATTCTTAATAATGTCCTCGATGCTGTGCATTATTTGTATACTTCTCTACTTGACTATAGTCTTGTACACAGATCGGGTTGGTTATATAATTACATCCGTTATTAATGATATGGGCCAATTTAATTTCATGGATATTGCGTTAATAATATGCTGTAAATGGTTAAGGCCAAGAGCCTCTCTCGAAAAAGTCACTACCTTTTACCTATAATATTTCACATCTCGAAGTTAACCCACATAACGTACTAGAATGTTCACCCCAACTACCCCGTGCACCAAAGTTTTTAGTAGGGCATAGTGTAACTTGTCATTAATCAACACATTTTGGAAAATGTGGTATAATTTTTCTGATAAAAAAGATTCCCCTTCTGTTTGAGCAAATGAAATTTGCCCCACATTATTAAAAGTAAGCAAGTCTGGGTTTTGTATGGGCTACCCTGTATAGCAGCGTAGGTCAGGACTGAGAGGAGGGACTTGCGTCATGGATGGGAAGGGGGTAGCGCATCGGTGATTGGATGAAACGCAAGAAGAAGAAGGTACATGAAGATTGTAATATCTTCTTTCACGTTGCTCTCCCCTGTTCATTTTTGGAAGAAAACAAATCTTTTAAACAACCCTCTTTTTCTTGATTTCACCACGCGAAGGGACAAACAAAAACCTGTTTGTTTTCTCTTCATTTTGCAAATCGAGCATCAAGACTTTTGTATATGCCATAAATTGTGTATGGTTCATTTCACAATTGAAAAAAGAAAATGAACTAAAGAATTTATTTGTTATCAAAGAGTGCCCTCAAATGTTGTACCTGCTGAAAGGTGTATTATTGTAATAGAATGCAATTAAAGTTTTCAAAAATGTAATACAAAATTGTACAACTTCCCCCATCGTTCATCTCCCTCTCTCTCTTCTCCGGATTTTATTCCGTGTATAACTGTTTTCTCTTCTTTATGATGCTCCTTGCAATATATTCATGCCTCTAACAGTGTTTCAAATTTTCTACTTTGAAGAGCAATAGGGGCGGGGTAGGATATACAAGCTTTGTTTTTATTAAGCTTTTAAATAATTCCCATATGTCCTCATCGTTATAACGATAATGCACATGTACGCCATCAATACTTTGTATCATTTCATTATCAGCTTGTATTAGTTTTTGTACATATTGGGTTACGTTATCCATACAAAATAGACCAATGAAACTTAATTTGAATCATCTGCATTTATCGAATTTATTTTTCGCTATATTTGCCACTACTACGTTTGGCATCTGCAATATTTTATCGATTGATGCAATATTATATACCTTCAAGAAATCTTTAAAAATTAAACTTTCAATAAGCCTAGTCATTAATATGATATCATAGCAGTTTTTTACTAATAATCGTAAGTTTGATGTTAATCATCAGTGTCAAAGGTAAATTACAGTTTGATATTTCTAGAATAATAGCTTTTCTCATTAATACATTATGAAAATGGAGGAATATCAAATAAATTCAAAATTATATAAATTTTCTTGAAACCGAATGTTCATGTGATTATAAACAAGCAAGGGGTGCTTTTCTTGTTATCCATTGTAATATGATGCTTAAACCTAAAGGTTCGCCATGTGAACGAAAGATAGAGATTATGTAAAAACATCGGAAGAATATAGATATTTATCATACAAATCAATAGAAAATTGATGTTACACTAATAACACAAAGGTAACTACAAACATGCAATTTAAAGGCCCACTGCACTACTTGTAGCTGCTTGCGCCCTCTATATAACAAACAATGCCTAATCGGTGACCATTGGTCCCCCATGATCCTCTTTTTCTTATGTTAACTGAGAGCTGAGTTGATGAGATAACCACCTATCCAGTGACCTTGCAGGGCGGTATAATCCCTCCTGTAAACTATGGCAGATAAGCTTTAACTTACAGACATCAATCAACTTTTCAGATGTACTTCAACCATTTCTTTTGGTAAGTCATCTTTTCGTTTCGTCTGTGTACTTTTCTTTCTGCTTTATTGTATTTCATTCTTTTTCTGATTTCTCTTTCAAAAAAATGTTTCTATGCAGAATCTCTTTTATCTTTTTCCAGTTTTGTTGCGTTGTTAAATAACTTTACATACACTCCAGAATGTTATGGTCAGAAATAAATTCCCCACAAATATACACGCATTTTTAGATTAAAGCTAAACTTGAGTTCTGGTAATGCGATTGCATTGTGAAAGAAAAGGTGTGGAATGGATCAGAAAAGTTGATCATATAGCATGTAAGTAATGCTGTGTAATGCAAGGTTCTGGAGTCATCAAAATCATCATAAATTTGGCAGAGTCTTGGTAAAGTTACAATCACTTACACAGAAAGATGTATATGGGACAACACACATGGTGTCGAGGCTAGTACTACCCTAATTTCCTTATCTTTTTATGCTCATTTCTCAGCCAGTATACATTTTCTTCCAAAATTGTTTGGCACATGACATTTATTTGTAATCTTGAACATTCAGTGTAAGTTTCGTTAGATTCTGTAAGAATTCATTTTCTTTTTATACCAGAAGTCAAGTTTATCTTTAATCAATACAGTTCCAAGAAGATATATATAAACTTTCTGCCAATAATAAATGATACTATCACAATTATTTCATGAAAATCGGTAAAGATTATTAGAAATGTTTGGGCAAGGTATATCTACAGAGTGAGTCAGAAAAAATGTCCCACTTTTTAAAAGTTGTATTGTTTGAAGTATGAATATTTAATCATGAGTTTCATGATATGTCTTGATAGAGTTACCCTCCCAGTACATTTAGGTACCAGTTTCGTTTGAATCTCAGCACGCATGACTGAACATCAGACAATCTTTACAAGACTGCCAGATCTCACTTGCGCAAAGTTGCTAGGTGAGGAATAAAATAGGGTTTTGAACAAAGACAGTCAGACAGACAAAACACACACACACACACGCACACGCACACACACGCACACATGCAAACAAACACACACACAAATGAGCGTTCCATTCCCGACAAGGCCCAGCCAAACTGTTGCTTTTTGTCGGGAATTCTTCTTCTTGTACGAAAAGTTGAGTGGCCGCTGTCCTCTTAGTGTGTATTGGCGGATGTTGTACTTCATGATGATGATGATGATGATAATGATGATGATGATGATGAAGATTAAGATGATGACAATGATGATGATGGGAACATGATGGTGGTAGTGAATGTGTACTAAAGGGAACGATTATCAGGGTTATTAGTAGGATACCAGCCTGTAGGTCCCGTGACCAATCTCTGGGAACAAAAGTTTGAAAGTGTTTTTGTGTTCCCTGATGAATACCGAACAATTTTGACTTGGGCTGCCCCCTTGAAAATCCCAGGCATTTTCGTGAGGGGTCAACAAAGGTCACACAGGCATAGAAGTTCAAATAGTTCCAATCGTGTCAATATGCAAATCAAATTACTCGTCTGGTCATGATGATTCCAAAAATAGTTTGCTATACCTCCGACCTTAAATGAGGGCGCTAGGGTCAAAAACGTTGAAAGGTCAACACACTTTTGACTGGTGGTCAAATTCACCAACACAGTTAAACTTATAAAATTGCATATTAAATTACTCGTCTGGTCATAAGGATTTCAAAACTGTATAGTTTGTTATACCTCCCACCTTAAATGATGGCGCTATGGTCAAAAAGGTCAATGCACTTTAGAAATTCACCAACACAGTTAACATTGTCCGATTCTATGTATTTTAGGGTCTAATAATATGTTTTCTGACATGGCAAATTCAACTATACAACTTTCAAAAGTAAAAGTGCCTACCTTGACCATGTACATTCAAAATGGCTGCCGTTTCGGGGACAAAAATCTAACAACCTCTTATCCATAGATTTGGGGGAAATTTCAAGGTTATGGCAACCACTTTTGATTTTAAAAGTTGCTTAGTTGAATTTGTTATCTTTTTTACAAATTTCTAACAAATGATCTTCAAAAAAGGAATTTTCAAAAGACGTATACTCAATGAATAATTAAAACATGTACTTTCGATAGCCAATTCAGCACTCTTGGCCAGATTTAACACAAGTAAGTCTCTATAATGTCCCTATAGCTTAGTTGGCTCAGATCCGACCATCGTTCAGTGTATAAGATATAGATGCGTTGTAGGACCGCTGCATATCCGAACAAGGCTCAATGTCACATGTCCAGTGTAGACGCATACAATCCTTCATCCAAGTCATTGAGTCATTGACAGGTAATTCTGCGAAATTATAAAAGAAAAAGAGGAAAAGAAGAAGCAAAGGTAATCATTAATTTGGTTAGGATTATAATTATTTTCACGATACCTGTTGAATTCTTAGTAGGTCCATGGTTGAACAGAGGTAGCTTATCTTCGTTCTGATTTCATATATCAACTATTATAGGAGAATTGATGAATATAATCACCTGGTCTGGTCTTCTGTCTCCTCAACATGATGAATTGAATGATGTTGATGATGACAGAAGCCACTAACAGGGTGGCTAAGACAGCAATAGCTGCAGAGGCCCCAGAACTCAGACCAGTTGGCACACAGGTACATAGTGTGCGATCTGGATGGTGAGCAATGTTTAATACAAGATCTAAAGACACAAGCTTCTAGATGAAATCATCAAACCTATGATTAGTTTTCTACAAATACTCAGTAGTTGTATCACACATGCTAACGGGTCGATTGCTCCAGATCCATTGCATACACTAGCCGAATTATTTGCTCCAACGCTGGACCCTGTATAAATGATCCTAATCCTTTCCCTAAACCTTACCTAAAATCCGATCGTAATCCTAGTCCTTACCCTTACTCTTAACCTTACTTAAACCCCAATTGCAAACCTTACCCTATAATTTTGACGAAAACAATAACAGGAGAAAAATGTCGCCGGAACAAATGTAAGATCACCATACCATTTATATAACATACAGGTATCTATAGATATATAATAATTTCAAGGACCAAATTTATTCCCAATAACTGTAAAAACAACATACAATGACAACCGCGTTTAAAGGTACTATGCCCAATTTGCAGGCTAACAAAATGAAAAGGTTATATTCCAACGGCATTTGAAAGTAAATACTAATTTAGAACTTCCCTTAAAAAAAAGGGGGGGGCTTGAAAATGTCTTTAAGAGGAAAAATAACGACTATAATAGTTGTCAAATCGACTTAAGAGCTGTAGAGCCAGTAAGTTATAGTCTGATTTTCAGATCATTGTACCGAATGGTTGTACGTTTTATGCTGCGCAAAGGTTCAATCAGTTTAATTTTGGCCATTACAAGAAGTGGATTATTGACAAATGCTCATGTACCCTCAACAGCTCTTTTTTTTATGTTTGTTATTACCAAGAAAGAAAAAAAGTCAGTCAGTCACTCGATAGTGTCTGACAGTGAAGTCTAGCAAGTAAACGGGTTTCCTTGCATAATTTGAATATTAGGACACTGCTAACGTTTACATTTCACAGAGAGGACATACATGACATATACTCTTAACTCCTGCAAGTTCTACAGAAGTTGATGTTGGCTGCAAAAGGGACATACTGTAGTATCTTTAAGCCATACAAAATAAAACTACTAAAATAAAAACATTCTCACATTCTCATGGACAGCAACCCTGAATCTTTCTATAGTACTATATCTTTCAGATACTGAATAGAATAAATCATCGGGGGAATTCCCGATTTAATTCATTGCGATCAAAACAGAAACAAGTTTGTATGCGTATTCACCTATACTATGAAGCCTCGCTTCAACCATTGCATTAACAGGACTTTGGACTCTGGTCCGTGGTCACAAATACATTGTAGGTTAATATTTGCTGAAGTAACTAGGGAATAATAAACATTGCTTGGATGAATGCACATCCTTTGATATCGATTTTTCTGATATTTTTATATCACATATAATAATTTATAATGGCATAGTTTATTACAATGGCTCATTCATCAGGAGCTTAAAGTGATGAAATGCCTGTATTGTTAAGATTGTACAAAGAAGTTTATTAGAAATATTGTGACCGATACCTCCCTCTCTCTTTCTGAGGAGCTCATCTAGCAACGTACTGTAGTCTTTTATATTCAGATTCGGAAGAGACTTGTATTACTGTAAACGCTGTTATTTTCAGCATCAAATTTACTTCTTTATGTACACTGTTGGTCATGATGGTGGAATAATTATTTTCATCCCAGTTTAGGGAAGGATTTTAATTTTTTTTTAATTTCTAATAGATCTAGATAATGGCATATATTCTCAGATTTTATTGAATATTAATTTGCCAGTGTTTGTTTCGCGTGACTGCTTAATCATATGTGTGCTACTATGCTAATCAGCTAGGGAACCTACGTCCTTAAATCATAATTGACAGTATTGAGGATTAATGCCTCACAAAAGGACACTAATATAGCTTATGGACACGATTTTTATGCTGGGGCCTCACAGTAACGAGGCCATTGCTTAGCCCCTGAATCATGACTGTACGCAGTGTTTGCTAGGGTACGCGGCCGCCCCCCACAAATCCCCCAAAACGTAGAAAATGCAATCAATTTTGAAAAATTCATTGCATTTTCCCCCGGCCCCCAACAAGAAAAATTCCTCTGTAGGGCCATGCATTATAGTTCAAGGCATCAACTAGATGTGTGTTACTGCATGACGTTCATGTACACCTCACAACCATGCCTGCGTATGCACGCCATTGCCTACTCTTACAAGCACACCCGACTTTGAACTGACAAAGGGAAAACTGGAGAGAAAAAAATCCTCAAATCATACGATTCATCAGCTACATGTATACAAATCTGTATTGTATTTGACGCTTAAGGCTTACCAAACACGACAAGTTTAAATTGGTAATCTCTATCACATGAAACCCTATACCATTCACTTTAATATGTAGTCCCATGGATGCACGTGCTTGTATTTTTTGAGTTGGGATATGATACTATAAAACAAAATACTTTTATTGTAAGTGCATCATGGTTCTAAATCTATATTCAAAAGTACAATGTAGGCAAGTCTGACAAACATGCTAATTTATTTCAAGAATAAACGTGCATGTATAGACAGTAATTTAAGTAAAATTGGAAAAGTTTTTTTCAAAATTACGTTGAACTGGGTCTGTATATAGCCCTAAACAGAGCATTTAAAAAAAAAGGAAATGTAGATAATTTGTCATTAGGTCACCATACCAATTTCTCTCTTTCAATTTACATCAAGAAAAAACACAAGAATATTCATGCATTTGGAGGTAAATTTTCAAATCCGAAATTGATTGAATGACAATTCCATAATTCATTAAATCGTATTTGGTATGTAAACATATACTACTTCCTTGGAAAATACTTTTCTAGTAATGGCCTCTACGTTATTACTATTAAAAGTGCATATTGTGAGAATGTAACTGTAAGCATTCCTTACATTTAACTCATAGCCTGCCATAAGGCTGCATGCACGCTATTGTTAAGGTGCCATGTACACGCTAGCAAGCTATTGCTCCTCTGCTTCTTGCATGATTGCACGCATATGTAATAGCAGTTATTGTTCATGCCCATTGGACTGTGCCTAGTGTTTTGCACGCGCTATTGATAGTACCATCGCGTTAATCCGATTATCTCGTTATAAACTTGGCACTGGGGGATTTGGAGCCTGGCACTGCAGGGATTAACCCGGTGGCAGGATAAGAGTTAAGGATCAAAATCGAATGTAACAGAACGGTACTGTTGAGGAGCTAAAACACATTTAAAACTTGTAAAAGTGCAGAGGGAATCTGTTGAGATGTGGTTTGCTGAATAATTTTGGAATTGAGAGAGATAGGTAAAGTCATAATTAGTCTCAAACTACAGAATTGATTTGATCCTACTAAAACACATCCTAACATTCCGCAGTATGATATATCACTCTTCGATTTGAACCAAGTGTTTAGGATTAAAAAAAAATCAAACCAAACAGCTTCCTCACCAACTACCTCAACCTCAACTCCCCCCCCCCCCCAACAACAAAAAAAATAAATAAATAAATAAATAAATAAAAATCTCCCACAACATCTCTGTTCAATCTGAGGGCTACGCAGGAGTCACATTTTGATTCTTTGCAAACAATGGCTTCTAGTATTTGTAACATTTCTAATAGCTTTATCTAGAAATGAATCCCCTTCACTAAACTTATCCATCTTAAGAGCAAAATGTTGTTTTCCTCAGAACATTTCCCAAAGTTATTTACATCCCATTGAAAAAATTAAAATGGTTAATTTGGGTCTCATAAACATTATTCAATGGTCAGATCGTCTGTTTGGAGCCAGAAGGGTATTAATTCATACACAATCAATACAGTGTTAATGCCCTTCTGGCTCTGAACAGACGATGTGACCATTAACCCATTGCTTACTGGAACCGGGTGGCCGCTGTATTAAACCTACGGCAATGAATAAATTCAGTAGTCAACGGGATAAGATATATTTTCATATTTGGATTGAAATAAATGGAGAGAAGACAATCAAATGTATGTTGTACGAATTACATTGCACGAAGATGATCTTGATATTTGTTTGCATATATAGTTATATACGATGTATGTACATGTTATACACCCATGCATATGATTGGTGTTGTAAAATTACAAATGTATTCTTCTATTTGATTTATGCAAACATTGGGATCTACGCATATGTACGGAGTACATGTATGCACATGTGGATCCTCTTTAAGATACGGTGATTACCTTTCCCCAAGAAACAATGATAGAAATAAAAGACGATAAATACACAGAAGCATAATAACCCAAACAAACAAAAACAAACTCTAATTTCACTGATGATATAAAAGAATAATGACTTACTGGTTGGGTCATATCTAGCCGGATCACTTGTTGTGTTTCCAAGATAATTCCCTGCTACGCAAGTGAACTCCGTATAGAGGTCGAATTCTGAACATGGAACCTCCACATCGTTGTCTCCCGTTGGAGATTGATGTATCAGAGTCCCATCGGAGTATATGTAGTAGTTCATTATGCTTGGAATAGGTTGGGTTGGATCAGCAATGTCACATGACACTGTGAGGTTTGGTTCAAGGAACTGGAATCCCACCCTTATATCAGTAGTAGGTGACCCTGAATTAAAGTGAACATGAACAATTCAAATATGCACTGATGGGACAACTGAACAATTTGATTTTTTTTTTGGGGGGGGGGTTGATTTTTTAGAGCAACTGAGAAAAAGAAAAGCAAGTATAAATTTACCATATACAGGGATCAATCTTCTTTACATTAATACATGTAAGATGGATTAAAAAAAATCAACAATCACTTTAAGAATGACACTAAGAGATGCATACTTGAGCCAACAATGTATCTTCAGCTTGCAGCCTTTACAATGTCCATTGTAATCATCTAATTTATAGGGATATATTTTAGGATGGGGTGAAGGGGATTGCAGACTGAAAGAAATACCTAAAACTTGTACCCTCGTGTATTCAAGTTGAAATGACAACTAAAATATTCAAGGTACACAATCTTTTGCACGCCAATTGGCTATTACATATATGTATACGTACATGTACATGTGTATCAGGAGAAAAATAAAGTTTCCTAAATTGATGAATACTTCTAAGTTATCCTAAGAAGAGTTATCATCATCGTCTGTTTGGAGCCAGAAAGGCCTTTTCTCATATCATTTCACATCGAATGAACAGCCTTCTGACTGCAAACAGACAATACTGGTATGTAGAATTAATCGTTTCTATGAACTACTACCAACAATTTTGATATAGTTGATCTCTTTTGTTTTATAGCAAATTATTCTGTTCAGTACAAATGTTCAAATATGCAAAGGGGTAACCAAACTTACTTTGTATATTAAGAGTAGTTGTTTTTTCTCCATTGAGATCATATACTTGATGACCGCTGATGACACATTTCAATGTTTGACCAATGTTCTCACTAGTAGCTTGAAATGTGCAGACACTCCTTTTACTAGACAGACCTTCTCCAGCTGCAGGGTACGTTACATTTGTATCATCACAAGGTGAAGGCCCATCATCTAACATCCATGTGATTGTTTCATCTGGTCTACCTCCTAAAGCTTCACATATTGCTTCGAACACGTCAATGTTGCTCTCTGTTATAGTTTTTACCGATAGGTTCCGTATCGATTTGACTGCAAATCAAAATAATTGTTGTTGTAAAAGGTGATAGTACAAAATTACTGTCAGAAATACCATTACTCTAATTATTTCGTCTAATACTTTGTAATCGTCGCAATATGAATAAAGATTGTTATTATTATTATTATTATTATTATTATTATTATTATTATAACTATTTTTTTAATCAATTTTCCACAACATAATGTACAGTTAGATAAAAGAGGAACCGGACTTCATCGAGAAATCTGGGGTCATCTGTTTGTGTAATGATTTCATCAATTCATCTTATTATTATTATTTTTATTATCAATATCATTATAATTACTATTATTAATATCATTATCATTATTATCATTCTAGATACATTAATAAGTCTAAAAATGCAATTTAAAATAGATCCCTTCTTGACATCTACTGTCCATGGATCCTCTTTTTAGGTACTGGTAAACAATACTAACTTTAATGAAAAGCTACAAAGGCAGGAACTACATTAACATTCAGTAAAATAGACTGTTCAAACTTTCTATGACCCACCTTCTACTGTTAGTTCTGCACCATCAATGTTTCCTGTTCCTACAGGAAGTTCAACACATTTATACTGCCCTTCATCTTCTACCAGAGTATTAGTGATTGTCATAGTGGATGTACCCTCATTTTCTGATACACCAAAGTTGACATATTTTGGATGAGTAGAGGGATTGGTAACCGCTTTTCCATTAATGAAGATATTAACAATTGGAATCACTGAAAGGTCTTCCCATATAAAGGTATATGGCGCTGCTCCTCCAGTACAGGTGTAAACTGTGTCAGTACCTTGCTGTATTAAGGAAGGACCTGTCAGAGTCACAGATTGGCCGTTTGAGAATTTCGTGATCTGAAGAAATAAAGATAGGTAGTTGAATCAATCGTTACAAAAAAAGCGATCTAAAGCAGCAAACCAATTTCAAATGCTGGTTTAGAAAAGCAAGGAAGATTTCAAATGACTTTTGCTCCGTCTGAATTTTCGATTTTGAATTAATACCAGAATAGTCTCTGATTTATTTTTTTATTTGCGAAAATGGAACTTAGTAGCTACTTACTCGTGCATGGATAATGTGAGCTGATATTATTATTTTCACTTTATATAACGCTTCTTCTTGTTTTTGCTAACGTCATTACAACTTTGTTTCTAAAGAACTAATCTATGAATATGTTAATTTAATATAGAAGACGTTGGCTTTAAAAAATCCATTCATTTACAAAGAGTCCATTAAATTCTGTTTCTACCCTTCTTAAAAACTATACCGAGCGACCTTCGAACAGAAAAATAACAGATATCTTGCAGTAGTGTATTCTTCATCCATGTTCTATCCAATGGGAATGGTGCCTCCTGCATGAATGTTCCAATTTGAGCTAAGAATAATATTAATAAAACCTACTTTATTATGGACTGTATAATTTTTCCTAATCAAAATACACTACATAAGATATTACCATTTCATTAATTTAGTGTGAACATCCCTGCCCGCCTAAGGACATTCGGGCGTCTTGTTGCCCGAATGTGAGTTGCCAGTTATATTACCCGCATATTGGTATTTTACAAACTAATATCCTCAGAACTGCCAGCACCCCTCCCCCATCAATGTTATTATAGGTAATACCAAGTTTTGGTATGAGGACATGACTTTGGTTCAAATGAACATATTGGAAGCATATGCGATCCTACAATATTCAGTGATCGTTGTCGCGGTTGAAATCGTGTCTAAAGATGAAATTGTTAATCATAAAATCTTTACGTTGTATAGCTCCCTCTCAAGATCAAGATATTAATGTAGCTTTAAACAATGTTTCTTGACTAAAAATCGACCGTTTTGCTATATCCCCGTTTGGAAATTATATATTACAACTCCACATTCTGAGATTTTCATGCTCGCAGCTACCATTGGATGGCCGTATAGGCACTCTTTTAAATTGATCACAATTTACCGGTAGCACCGATATTTTTTTTTTATATTCAATTGTTTTCGAGAGCAGAAGTGTTTTAGGGGCTAAATTTTCTAGTGCGTATTATACATCCTCGTGGGCATCCAAATATATCAACATTCTAAAGAATCGCTATCCGCATAATTTTCTAAATTTGAAAAAACTTTGTATTACCTTTAACTAACTCTATTTATCTATATTATGATTTTAAGACACTGGAAGACTTTAGGAGAAAAACAAAACACCCATTTAATGACAAGTGTTTTCTCCTAAATACTGTTTTCTTCTGTTTTATTATAAGCATTTTAAGAGTATTTTTGCCCTTGCATGTAATGTGTTTACTGTAACCGCTTTCAGCACCATCTGGGTGTATAATGTTAGACTCAAATCCTCAATTTCTAAAATGATAATTCCCAAGCGGAGATTTATTATCTACATTAATATTCCCATGTTTGTATGCACAATACGTTACGAAAATGTAGAAGTGTTGTTGTCTTGTGAACAAGTCTCCTGACTGTGAACCGCAGGGTACAGGGTTCGAGTCCCCGCCGAAGTACTTATGTTCTTTGGCAAGACATTTATCTATATTTTGCGCATTTTCCCCCAGGTGAAGCAAATTGTTACCTAGCAGAAATTAAAACATTTAAATGATTGAGCGCTGTAATGGCAGCCGTGTTTAAGCCGGTGTAATAACAATGCTGCGCCGTGATATTGCATTGTGCCAGACATGATCGCTATGTCCCCCACGTACTATATATGCATGTGCAATAGTTTGTATTGTTTTGCAATAACGAAGACAACTTACCAGTATTAACAATCCGATGAAGTGCAAAATGGCTCTCATATGTTGGATATCCATTTTAGAACTGGACAGTCGACTTCTGTATTAATAATCAATTTCACGATTTGTTTGTTAGCTGGTTAAAGACGATCTATGTAAACGCAGTGTTCATGCATTCCTTAGCCTATAAAGCTAAAGGGGGAAGTCCAATACAATCAACAACAACCTACGTAATATGATTGCACGCGAGATATACAGAGTGAGTCAGAAAAAATGTCCCACTTTTTAAAAGTTGAATTGTTTGAAGTATGGATATTTAATCATGGGTTTCATGATATGTCTTGATAGAGTTAACCTCCCAGTACATTTAGGTACCATTTTCGTTTGAATCTCTGCATGCATGACTGAACATCAGACAATCTTTACAAGACTGCCAGATCTCACTTGCGCCAAGTTGCTGGGTGAGGAATAAACTAGTGTTTTGAACAAAGACAGCCAGACAGATAAAAACATACACACACCCACAGGCACACACACACGCACATACACACAATTGGGGTAAAAACTATTATTCCACCTTAATGACCAAAAGAGAACAAAACTGTAGATTAGTGCATTAAAGTTGTAGTATTTACAAGAATACCAGTCATGTTTATTTCTTCCACATCTAGGTGAAATTTTCTTTGATCAACATTTCTGTTTCTGTTTACAAATAATCTCGCCCTTTTTGTACTTTGGTTTTGAAATCAGCAATAGTGTAATCCTTGAATGCAGGGGTGGTGATCCCGGGGGGACGGGGGGGGGACACGTCCCCCCTCAACTTTTTTTTTAGAGGGGATCGTCCCCCCCCCCCTCAACATTTGAAAAAGTTCACACAACATTTTATAGCTCTGGAGGGCCCAAGAGTGCAGCGTTTAGACAAATAAAAATGCAAAAATCTTCTTACTCGGTAGCTACGCCCCCTTGCATAATATCCTTCAAGATGTACAAGTAAATACCGAGAAAATCGAAGTGTGAAAAAAGTATCTGCTTTTTTTCATACTATAGTTTTGCTAAGGAATGTAATTTTGTAATACAACAAAACTTCAAAAACCTTTGAGGGGGTAGTCACTTCCGTCACCTTCACCCCTCTTATTCACTGTGCTCCCTCGCACCTGCGTACTGATGGGGGGGGGGGCTTTGGGGGCAGTTCTCCCTAAATTAAATTCAAGCGGGGTTTATTTCTAATTCGATACCAGTGATTTACAAATGTTGTTGAAATGGCATGATTTTCCCCTGAGCTTCCGAGGGCTCTGCCCCCTGGCTGCTCATCTGACCCTAATTAAATGCCTAAAACCCCTGGGCTTCTGAGGGCTCCGCCCCTGGACCCCACTCCAATAAGTGACCTGCATGCCAGTGTCACAAATAAGGTATCAAAATATGCTCATCTGACCGTAATTAAGTGCCTAAATCCCCTGAGCTTGATGAGGCTCCGCCCCTTGACACCCGCCGGGGCTTTGCCCCTTGACCCCACGCCAATTTACGCTCCACTTTGCTTTGCTTTGCTCTACCTGATCGTAAATACTTTAACCCCCCCCCCCCCCACTTTGAAAAACGTTCGAAGGGCCTGCGTAACATGTAAGAGTGGTGGTGATGCGGATTTTTTTCTGCCCCCCCCCCAAACGTTTTTGCTCATTACGCCACTGCTTCCTCGTCCCTCACATTTCGTCCCCCCCCCCCCCGGTCATGAAAAGAAATCGCCGCACATGCTTGAATGTTTAACTCTGAAAAATATGAATGAAGTGTAGAAGGCATGATAGTATTTTTTTTTTATATACCTGGATATTTTTGTTTACATGTCTGCGTTCTCACTTTTATTCTTTTCGTGAAGAAATCTTGAATCTTGAAGCTTTATTTTGTATTGGTGCTTGTAATTTTGTTTGCACTATTACAAGGTATTTCAGAATAACATTTTTTGTTATGTTATGGTTTATTCAATTTGTGATTTTGACATCTCAGCTACTCTGTTGAAATAAAAAACGAGCGTCTATTGCATTTTGTACACGGCGCATTTGCATAAAGTAAGCAACCGTACGCAACTGTAAGCAGCCATACGCCTGGCCTATGCAAGCGTACGCAACCCTACGCCTGTCAAACGCAAGCGTGCACGTATGTACGCCAATTGCATACGCGTAGGTACGCGGTGCCTACGCACAGGGTACGTAACCATACGCCATCGTACGCCAGCCTATGCATACCCTACGCAGGGATTACGCCGAAGCATAATTTTGTTCATGAATACGCAGCCTAACTGCGGCGTACTCGGTACGCCACACTACGCAACTCTACGCAGATCCGGTGTAAAAGGGGCTTATTTGTACTACATAGCAATATACAGGAATATATGGCTACCAGAGTACAGGAGATACAACTAAATCCAAAAACTGATATAAAAACAACGCTTCATAAACTCCAACTTGTCTAGTAGTTTCCAGATTACTAAGTGTCTAAGAATAACGAGCAACCAGGAGCTCTTTTTGGAGAGCAAGCAAAATGCATGTGCAAATGCCTGTGTGCTCATCGAGTAAATATGTTTAATTTTCAATTGACCTATTTTCATTAAAAACTAACACATATTTACATGTGATATAGTACAGACAGTTCAAAATCTAGAAATCATGAGCATTGTGTAAAAGGGGGTGTAGCATGATGAGACTACGTGTCTTTCTGGTAGCCTAACTCGGGCCAATCGGGTATGACTACAGACGACGCGACCGCAGCTTTCACATGCGTGCAACATATGCGAAACCGAAGCGTGAGGAGAAGTTCGGTCTGTTTCGCGAACGCTTGCGCGCGCTGACCGTTAATCAAGTCCATTCGTGTACGTGCAGTTGTCCAAAAGAAGTCATGGATGATGTTAACCACTATTTGCCATGCTACACCCCCTTTAACTCTTATCATGCCACAGTGCTAATCCCCATTGTGCCAAGCCCCGAGCCACGGAGTGCCAAGTTTATATTGAGATAATCTGATTAACGCGATGGTTCTATGAATAGCTAGTGCAAAACATAGCACAGACCAATGAGCATGAACAATAACTGCTACTACAAAAGTGTGCACGCACGCACATGGCAGCGTAGCAATAGCTTGCTCGCTTGTACAAAGCACTATAACGATAGTGTGCATGCACCCTCATGGCAGGCTATGAGTTAAGTTAATTTACACAAACTGTGAGCACCTGTAGAAAGATTGTTTTACCTTGTTGATTCAGGCGTCCAAATGAACAAAATAATTACACAGATACGATAACATAATAATGAGTACAGCGCATGGATTCATCTACTCACCCCCTCCCCTCCTTAAGCTGTAATAAAGCCCCACTGCACTATGTGTAGCTATACTTGCGCCCTTTATACAGCCAACAATACCTATGTTCCCCATGATGCCCTCTTTCTTATGTTAATTGAGAGCTGATTTGATGAGATAACCACCTGCCAGTGACCTTGCAGAGAGGTCTAATCCCTCCATGCCAAACTTAAAGGGATAGTTGAGTTCTGTTTCCAGACCGCAAATGCCTTCAAAGTGGATGGTTATTGCTGTTATTCTTATCTGCGACATTTCTAGTGCCCTTTTAGAAGCTAAAAGTGCTATGAAGGTAATTTTAGACCCCAAAATGTGTAAAATTTAGCCAATACGATCATACCAATTCAGTTCCACCTTCAAAATAATATTGTGACCGTTAATTAATTATTTAATTAAAAATAACAATACATGGGCCGGCTGGTTGTGCGTACTATAAGCAACGCGAAAATGCCAACAAAATAGCCAACATCGACATTGGCTGAAATACGACGTAAAAGGCGTTATTCCTTTTTTTCAACCGTTTTTTTTTTTAATTTGTCAAAATATCTAATATTTGTGGTGGTACACAAGTTTTAGAAATCGCTATTTTTCAACCTTCTCTGAACCGATTCTAATCAAACAAAGATGATTTTGTCATTTAAATATTATGTTCTTTCATATTTGACACTCAGTTGTTCATTATCTCACAACAAAATTATTTTGTGTAGCGCCCTCTGCAACAAACTCAACTATCCCTTTAATACTCGGACGCAAGCATTTTGAAACGCAACGGTACATCTGCAGTACACGATTTTTTTTGCTTGCCGGTATATCGACTATTTTCTGCCGCGATTCACCGCAAAGTCATTGCATTTCAAGTTTAAATGTATATGTCGGCACCGCACTACGGTCGCGCCACAATCGTTGAGCAGCACGCGACGACGCAACGCATCGCAATGCTAATATTGTGCATAACTTCTGGTACAGCAACACTTAGCCGTTTGTGATAGCAGTGGTTTACCAGCGGGGGTGGGGGGGGGGTTCCTATGACAAGCAGAGTTTGGCAATATCAAGGGGAAGGAGAGATTAGAGAAGAAAAGTGTAAACATCTGGCAAAATCGAGAAGGAAGTAGGAGGAACCGGAAAGAAAAATAAACACCGGGAAGTCCGTGGACTGCCCCGGCGGAAAGGTAGTGTACCTACGCATACGCCACTGGATGGTGGGCAATGCAGTAAAAACACTCTAACCCATACCTAGGATTTTTGTTTCAAGTAAATGTTTCCTCTTTTCTCTTTCTTTTTGCATTTTAGCCGCCAAAGGGGAGGAGCACGGGCCTGTATTGAGATTGCATGAACAGATCACAGCAATTTATGTTTAAAATTCACATTAGCAAAAAAAACCAGGCTTTACGGGAGATATAATGTTATGTTGTGGACAGTCAATTGACTTTTCTACCGATGCTGTTGACGGTACATGCTGCAGCAGTAGGCTTACATTGTTTGATGACGTATTACGACTGAGGGCAATATAAAGCTACTTGTCCAATAACTGCAAATTTGCTTGAATGATGGAAGGAATGAAGGAATGAATATATAGGCCTAATCTTGGCAATGCCGATGCGGCTATCCCGTGTAAATAAGACAATTCTATTCAATTAAATTCAATCAAGGTTTATTAAATACATGAATGACAGTCATATACTGAATTGTACATGCTTTTACAGTGCAGGTAAAAAACAATGTAAGTATAAAATAATAACATGAGATCAGGAAAAATGGAATTAAATGTGTACAAGCATAATTCTAAATTATTAGATATGATGTTAAGCAACAGTATTTATGAATATATGAATACTTGGACTTCGATTCATCGGGTCATCGCGTCGGGTCGGGTCTATTTGTAAATAAAAGGGGCCTATTTTACAACATAACGCCGATATTTCGTAAATAAAGGGGCATGTTTCCTGAAATTTCTACCTGATAACAAGTATATTAATAATAATACAAATAATAGTGGGTTCTTGTATAGCCCTTACTTCTGTCAGACATGACACACCTGGCGCTCCACAATTACTACTCTGGCTTTAGCATGGCTGCCATTATGGCGCTCTAGCATTTCAAGGGATGTATTCCTAACCGGTACCCATTTATCTCACCTGGGTTGAGGGTGGCACATTGAGACAAATGTCTTGCAAAAGGTAATAAGAGCCGCGTCGGGACTCGTACCACGAACCATGGGATTGGCAGTCCAGGGCCTTATCCACTACACCACGAAACCACTTCTGTTGCAATAGAATGCAATACAAATATGTCATGTTTAAAAAAACTGAACAACCTTCCTCATTGCTCATCTCTCTCGCTCTCTCTCTCTCTCTCTCTCTCTCGCTCTCTCTCTCTCTCTCTTGTTCATTCCGTTTATAACTTTGTTATGTTCCTCCTCCCAATATGTTTATGCCTCTGACTGAGTTTCAATTGTTTTACTTTGTAGTGCAATAGGGTCAGGGGTATTACGGAAAAAAACATTTGCCTTACATCATAAAGTTCCCACATAATTACAATATGCCCTCATTGCTATTGTGGTTATGCTTATAATATGAACTACAGAAACCCTATTTGTTTTATTAGAAACCTTTATTATTTTTCGTGCATATTTTGTTATGGTCTTCATAAAACAGAAATGTAATATCAGTGAATCCATTTTGAAGGCAGATAAAAATGAAACTAATACTAAATAAACTGCTTTTATCACATTTATTTAACTGTATTTTTGCAATATTTACATTTGGTAGCAGCAATATTTCCTCGATGTAATCAATGTTATAAACCCTTTAGAAAATATTGTAGACTTTAAATAAGCCTAGTCATTAAAGGTATACACCAGTTTTGGAAACGCCCCCCCTCTCAAAAAGCTCTCATTACCAATCATATAAAAGAATATGTTTTGACTTATACGTGATGATACAAATTCTGCCGGTAAACAGCCTACTAATTGATATATTTGGTAAATTATTATATCTATCCGGACTGGATAGATATCGCGTAGTCCAATATACATTTTTATATGTACAGTGCTTGTAACTTTACCAAGACTCGGCCAAATTTCTTATCATTATGATGGTTCTAGAACCTTGCAGTACACTCTAATACTTATATGCTAGATGATCAACCTTTTCTGGTCGATTCCACAACGTTTATTTTACAATGCAATCGCATGATCAAACCTGGTCCATACCTTTGATATAACATCATGATCATTTGTCAAATTATCGTTAGTTTGATTTAAATCATCAGTGTCAAAGGTAAATTAAAGTGTAATATTTCTAGAATAATAGTGCCTCAAGGGCAATATCAAATACAATCAAATTTCTTTACCAAATAAGCTTATAAACAAGAATATGTTGATTTCCTTTAATCCATTGCAATAGTATGCTCACACTTATGGGTTCGCGATATAAATGAAGAATAGATATTATATAAAAAACATAGGGAGAATATATTTCATATACATGTATATTTTACTAAAGGCGTCATTAGAGGGACATTTGGAGTGAAACAATGATTCATTAAGTAGACATTGTCATTAGCAGGAAATTTTGGTGTCCTCTTAACGGGTTGTATGTTTTATTTCTCATAGAAGGCCCAATTTTGTTATATTTATCCCTCTCTTTATATGTAATATTACTAAAGGTGTCATTGGAGGGATATTTGGAGTGAAAAATTAGTCATTAAGTAGACATTGTGGTAAGGGTTAGGGTTAGGGTTAGGGTTAATGTATAATGTAGGGTATTATATATATATATACATATATATATATATATATATATATATGAAACCCTACATGTTGTATTAACAGGACACCTATATCTAACCCTAAATGGTACGTTAACCGGACATCATAAAAACTGGTATATTACCCTAACCTTAACCCTAACACAAACCCTAACCCTAAAGTCAAAACAATATAACTAATCAAACTAATGACTAGTGATTAGACCTTTTGATTCTAGGCAGGTCTATAAGTTTGCTCTGCCTGCAAACGTACGTAGAGGGCAGTAATTCTATTGTTCAATCGTTAACAAGACACAAAAATGTATAATAACATTGACCATGATAATAATAACCATGTCTACTTAATGACTTGTTTGTCACTACATATTTCCGTCTAATGACGCTGTAAGATGAATATACAGTATAAGGCTACTTACTTCACATTTCAAATCATACAAATCAATAGAACATTAATCTTACAAACATCAAATTTAACTTACAGATATCACTCAACTTTTAAAAGTGTACTTACTTCATTGAGGTAAATCATCTTTTCGTTTTGTTTCTTTACTTTTCTTCCTGCTATTTTGTTTTCGTTTTCTTTTCTCTGATTTCGCTTTCAAACAAATGTTTCAATACAGATTCTCTTTTATTTTTTTACAATTTGTTTGCGTTGTAAAATAACTTAATGTACACTCCAGAATGATATGGTCAGAAATAAATTAGACTGGCAGTTACTTTATATTTTTAGTAAGTGCTAAGATTTGTATGAAAACACGTTGAATATGTAACACACTATACTCATTCTGTATGAAGAGAATGTGCAAATAAAGAAATAGGTGAATAATTCACACGAAACCTATTGACAAGTAGGCGACATTTTACCATCTTCAAACATTGGCATGACCTTAGCACATTTACTGTAAAATAGACCTTAACACATACCCTTCATATTTATAATTAACGCAAAATACACCTTCATACATGCACATGACTATACAAACACTGTTGCTCATGAAGTTTTGAATATATTTTATTACGTGTTTCCATGAAAAGATTGTAACAGTATATTTGTTTCTTGATAAATTCTCATAACTGTATTGATGGATCTTTATGAACCTTTAGATTAATCAATAAAGTTCTAAGAAGATATAAACTGTATCTATCAAGAATAAATGATACTATCACAATTATCTCATGAAAATAGGTAAGAAATGTTATTCCAACTGTGTAGGCATGATAAATATACATATGGGGTAAGGCCAGCTCAGCCTATGGCATCGCGAGGCTACTTAGTTTAAATCAAGAGTTAAAGTATAATGATAATAAATGTCTTGATTTTAAAGGAATATGCATTGCAGCCCGGTGGCTTAATTATAAAATATTTTTGCAAAAGTATTTACATGATAAATAATACACTAAGAAGAATCATAAAAACACATAAAAACAATCTATATCCAGTTGTAAAGCACTCATGAGTGTAGTATATACAGGTGAGTCTACTATTAAAAGGGGAAAGAAAGGTAGAAGAGAAACAGAGGGAAAGAGAAGGATAGAGAGGGAAATGAGAGAGAGAGTGGGTGATGAACAGGAAGAAGAAAGAGGGTAGGTGGTCATCCACTTACAATACTATGAAATAACACAAACATTAACAAACGTAGCAAGGTGAATTAGAAGTAAGTTTTACACAGTATATACACACAACATAACCGACAAAAAAATCATGAGAATATGCTGTTGAATGTTTGAGATCGGCCGCTATAACCTTGATATTCACAAATTTCGTGTCTTCTAGAATATTTCGACCTCTTGACAGTGTAAACTTAACTTTTTAAAGTAACTTTTTTACACATTTTTACCAAATGATCTTAAAAATACAATTTTTTTCAAACAGACGTATACTTGATGCAAGATTCATACAAGTATTTGCGATCTAGTCTGATTCAGCATTCTTGGCTAAGTTTAACACAAGTTATTCCTTCTAAAGTCCCTATACTTATCCAACCAACGTACGGTTTACAAGATGTAGATGCGTTGTAGTACCGCTGCACATCCGAACACGGCTTAATTTCACATGTCGAGTGTAGACGCATACAATCCTTCATCCAAGTCATTGAGAGACAGATAATTCTGTGAAAATCAAAAGTAATTAAGATAATAATGATAATAATAACAGCATCTATATTCACCTCAGGAGACAATCATTGGAAGTACAAAGTAGTATTACGACATGAGATTTAGCCCAGCTGTTTTTAGGCGTTGAAAGCATTCAAGGAATAAACTCCAAGTATCACACTAACCCTCACTCTGTCAATTTTATGTTGAAAATAAGAAAGGAATTTCCCCTTTTTTTTCTTTCTTCAGAATTCTATTTAAATTTGAAAATATGAAGAAGAGAAACTTATATGATCATATATGAATATGAAACACACAAATATGTACGGTAGGATATAGTAAATGAATAAACTAAATGACGTAATAAATCATTCCATAAGGAAAAGAAGCTCCAAAGATCACTATTGGTTAAGGGTTAAGGTTATTTTCACGATTCCTTTAGAACTGAGGTTAATGCACTAACGGAATTGTAAAAATTGATATGTAATAAGGAAACTTAATTCTGCATTATACATGTTAGAAGGTAATTTGAGTCAATCTTACATGAGTCTTTTCTAGAATCCTTTCCAAACTCTTGAGGATATGATCAAAGTTACTCCGATTTGTAGCTTCCTTCTCCCAAGAACCAGTCATGACCGTATACCTGAAAGATACGAAACATACGATCCTTATCTAATAGAAATCTAATAGAACTACCGAATTGAATCTAATACAAATACAAATACAAAATTCCGACAAATCTAAAGTTCATGAGCAACAGCAGTTTTATCACTATTGTTTCATTATTTTATGTACGCACCCAGTCCGAATCATTTTACTACACCTTATTGTTTTATTATCATTCTATCAATTTCTCTCTTTGTCTTTCCCTATGTTATTCTTTGTTTTTCTTTTATGACCTTCTCTTATATTATTCATTGTTTTTATCATTCTATCATTTTCTCTGTTGAGTGTTTAGACGTATTATTTTCAGCTTCAGAATCATATTCTTAGGAAAGATTGCAAAATCAAGTGTAATCGTGTTTCTTGTTTTTTGGAAACATCATCATGACATCTAGGAAATACAAAAAAGCATCGAGTGAGTCAAATTATGACGTTTACAGAACAATTCGCATGAAAGAGTAATATTTACACTTCTTGTCCACAATGGCGAGGGCGTGGCATCTGATAACCATTGGCAACCTCCGTTTGAACAGTGTCAAAGGTCATTCTAGGGTATGGCCTTGCACCTTTAAGAAGCGAAGAAAAATAACACTGAAAACGTTTCTTTTCCAAAATACGAAAATGTGACATCCAAAGCTATGGAGAAAATTTAAATTATATCGCAAATATTATTGGTGGGTCTTATAGAGGGGAATAAGTGGCTTGAATTCTTCATCTTTAAAATGCTTCGAACTAGTATTAAACATGGTCTATTTTAATTATTTAAGTGCAAAGGTTTATTTCACTTTTCTTCATAACACCATATGATACACGTGAAGTGAAGGGGTCTTGGTATGGTGTCTAATTCTCTTGACTCTAAATCCGAGGTTCAAGGGTTCGAATCCCAACTCGACACTTACTTCCTTTGGCAAAACATTAATCCATATTCACCACTTTCCACCCACTCCACCAACCTGGCAATGGTAATAATAATGGGAGGGCCCTGATGAAGAACAGCTGTAACGCTTATAAGGCTTCCTATGTGAATGACTTTAGGGTCTTTACGATGGTACACAAAATTATATGTGATATTAACATTAATTTGTTCACCTAATGTCACAATTTCCCACAAGACGATACCAAAAGACCAGATATCTGCTTCTGTTGATGGGTCGCCAGTAACCATGGTTTCAGGCGAACTCCATCTTGTTGGTTTCTGAGATGTTGGAAAGTACAAAGAATGCTAAAAATCGTGTTAACTTTAAAGTTTAAAAGATGGAGAATTAGCGTCTTTCTTTGCATTTTTTTTTTATTCATTTTCATTAAACAATGGGTTAATACAAATCGTGAGTAACACCTGATGGCTGAACTGTTCATAATTTACAAACAGCTTTGAATATTCATATTATAAGCAAATAACTACCGTTGGTGAAGGTGATGGGACAAACTATCACTTCCGAGGCGATCTGGAAGTAGCTATTTTCCGAAGCGAAGCTGAGGAATATAGCGTATACATTCAGATCGCCGAGGAAGTGATAGTTTGCCATCGTCTGAAACCAAAAGGTGATTATTTGCTTTATATTCAACATCGGAAACATTTCACTTCTTCCGTCATTTTAGAGCAACAAGTCATCAATTAACATCTAGCAAACGGTGTACGAAACGTACAGTGTATGCAGTATGGTGGTGTGACCATAGTTCGCGCGTGACAAAAGTTCGCGTACTAACACTAAAAGCGCTTGAAGCCAGAGGAGAGCAATACGCAGCGTATACAATTAAAGTGCATTGCACTGTGTAGATACTACTTCTATATTCAGTGAAAGTGCGTTGCACTGTGTAGATAGTACTACTATCTACACATTAGAACGAACTTTTCTTCTCCCATCAATGAAGGGCGAACTATCTTTCATCACGCGATTTATTTTTTACCAATCGTAGAGCAAGAGCACCGTTTGCTAGCTGTTAATTGATGACTTGTTGATCTGAAATGACGGAAGAAGTGAAATGTTTCCGATATGGAATATAAAGCAAATAATCACCTTTTGGTTTCGGGCGATGGCAAACTATCACTTCCTCGGCGATCTGAATGTATACGCTATCTTTCATCAGCTTCGCTCCGGAAAGATAGCTACATCCAAATCGCCTCGGAAGTAATAGTTTGTTCCATCACCTTCACCAACGGTAGTTATTTGCTTAATATTGCAAATGGCAAAACTATTCAAACACCACGGTCAATCAAATTAATGATTAAGTAGTTTAAGGGGAATTGAATAAACGTCATAAATCATAAACAAATATTCCATGGTCGCGATTTCCTAGTTTAAATTTGTTAGATATATTTCTTTTGAGAAAAAAATGTAGTCCTCATTATTGTATACGTGCCATATCTATGCTGATGATATATCATTAAATGTCAGCGATAATACTCACACCTCTGGCGCTAAATAGTGATGAAGATAGTCCATAATCTGATAGCTTGCATTGCTTTCTACCGCCTAGTAACACATTGTGAGCGCAGAGAGTTCCATGGACGATCTTAGTACGAAAAAAAAAATTGAATAACCATAACAATAGTAGTAATAACAAATAAATAAATACATAAAAAACGATAATCTGGATGTCTCACCCTAGCTCATCATCACCATCTTCCAACTATACTCGCTTCCTTATCTCCTATTCTTCCACTTTCTACTTCTACTATTCTCAGTCTCATCCTCCTCGCACTTATCGTCGACCTCAACGTTCTTACTATCAACCCCCCCCCCCCCCCCCCCCCCCACGGTCTCCTCTTCTCCGCTTTTCTAACATTCTTCATGCCATATACTCTTCGGTAACCTCGTCATCGATAACTCGATCCTATTGCGGCTTTCTCAATTGCTCCTTATTGTTCTCCTATTGTGTTTTTTTTTTTAAATCTACAGGTTACCTTCATTGATTCAAGAAACTGTATCTCTCTGACGTATTTCCTAGCAAAGTTTAGTGGACTACTTTCATCTATGCAGCTCCTTTTCACCCATGCTTCCATTTTCCCATATTTTTCTCTCCTATCCCCTCCCATCGGTTCCCCTTTTCTTTAGTACCTTCTCTCTTATTGCAAGTCATTAAATCAGGTTACCTTCTTCGATGCAAGATACTGCATCCCTTTTGCGATTTGCCAAGCCAGGTTGAGTAGACTAGCTTCATCGATACGAACCCTCTTTGGTTTGAGATTGCTGTATGTGGGCTGGGATTGCACCCCTGTGGTCTGTAGATGGGTAAGTAGGGTACCCCCACAGATGAACTCATACATAATGCTACCTGCATCGTGGGGAATTCGTTAATTGAAAACAAAAATTAATGAAACTGACCGTAACATTATTGTAACGAACCAGTTCGCCACAATTGTAGTTATCTTGCAGAAAACGTAGAGGGCGCAGTAAGCTTTTGGGGCGTAAGGGCTCAGAGCGCGATTACGGACGCACCATGCATAAAGCAGCTCTCGGAGACTATAAATAGTGGTGTTGTGCGGGGAATTCGTTACTTCGACGCTGGCTCTCGTCGTTGTCAGATAGCGAACTCTCCGCTCCGCTCCAATGGAGCTAAAATAAGGAAAAGGATTGGAAACGAGAAATAGAGTTCCTACAAAAGGCAATTCCTGCCTTTACTACTTGTTGAGATTTATCAAGGTAATCGGTGTCGGTGTTAAAAAAAACCGCTCGCGTTAGTCAGGATGGCAAACTTTTCGTCGGATGACGGTGATAGAGGCAAGGGACAGGCCAGCCCTCCAGCATCCAGGACCCGTTCTAGGATGGAGGGCCGTAACATTATGTTTCATCAGACATCATGTTACAGTATAGGAAAATATCTTGCTTAATCTTTTAAATACTTTCCACTGTCTGTTATTCCAAGGTCCTCTTGTTTTACTGGTTCAATCGTTTTGGGTTCCGCGAAGCCTACTCAAATTGCTATGTACTTTCAGGGTTGCTAGAATCGATAAACTGAACTTTTGTCCTCCGAATTATCTGGAAAAGACGCTCATATTCCTAATAATATGTATAGAATTAAGCAGACCAAAACAAAACTTTTTGTAATTGCGAGAGGAGATGTTTTTACCTTGTTCTTGACAATATCCGAGGCACTTGACAACATTCGGTTGATCCGGTAGCTCAGAAAGGACCTTCACAGCTTCAAGAACGTTATTTGATTTGGTCACTTGATCTAAGGGAAGATACATCCTACATATAACTACCACATTTGCTTTCAATTTCGAAGGGAGTAGTGGGTTAAAGTCATTGCAGAACAAGTTAATCATTCATTTGTTATTAAGATCGAGTGAAAAACAGTGTAGACAAGTGAATACAATATATTTTTACTGCTACCTTGTTTGGCGTTCAACAATAAGGGATAGAGCAACGTCGATCTGGCGCTACTCAGCGGCTGCCGGGCTCACAATCAATTGGGCAAAAAGAATTTCCATTTTCGGTTTATCTTAATAAAATATGGAGTGGACTTTAAAAGATTATTATTATTATTTTATATTATTATTATATACAAATATATATTTATCAATTGAAAACCTAAATATGAATAAATATATATATATTTATTCATATATACACACATATATAACATACATACATGGTGTACTTTTAAACCGATGTGTTACTTTGTACGCTTGTTTTGGTCCTACTGAAATAAAACTTTCTAGAAAGCTGAGAGCATCTCTGCTTATCAATAATAACACAACATCTGGTAAAGTTCCAAGTTATTTTAGGCTACATTGATATTTATTAAAGCGATTTGCCTGTCGGTCTTTTAAAATCATTTTTTATAGGGAGTTGTTGGCAAAACCCCACCTGGAATCTGCCTTATACCGACGTCTACTTGACTTTGATTCGAGCGGAGTTCTCCCTTCCATACCCCACCGAAGTCACCCCGTCCAATCGAACCGAGTCTGGTGAAGAACGTCAGGTTTTCAGGAGCAATGATGGGAGAGTGGGATGGACCGAGTTTGAGAGATGTGTATGCTATAAAAACATAAATAAATATTATAACGAGGCTTCTAATACTTGAATGATTAAACACGTATAATATTTCCCTGAATACTTTTCGCACATTCGGGGAACTGGGCTAAAGCCAGAGTAATATAGTACTGTGTAGGCGCTTTGAGCATCCCCTGGATAAAAACGTGCGTTCCTATGGTTATGAGAGCTTTTTCTATGTTTGTTTTAGTATCTTTGCTTATTTTTGTTAATTGTTGATTATTTGAATTTATGTTTTTTCTTTGTAGCATTCTTCATTATAAACACTGTGATGACTTTACACATTTTCTCACCTCTATCTCCGTTCTGAATCATCTCAAACGCCATGTTGTCGTTTGCCTCATGAGATACATTTCTTCCTTTTCTGTGAAAAACAAATAGTGAGATGTTTCTTAATAAGGCATTTATATTGATAGTGTACTGTTTATTGTACAGCGCCATCTCATAGCCATCTCACAGTACTAATTTCCAAATAGTCGTAATCATCAGAGCAGTTTTGCTCGGTGTATGTGTTATAGTACATAGCTAATCATTTTCATTTGAAAGTTGTAATAGAAGTACAAACTCGAGTTTCACTTTATTTTTTAACATATTTAACATGTAAACACATAATAAATGATATCATCTATACATTTGGTGGTTTCTCATATTTCACTACATCCGAATATTGGTGTATGTGTGTGCGTGTGTGTGATGGTGGTGGGTGTTTGAATATATACCTGTGTGTACTGATGTGCACATTTGAGTCCTCGATTAAAACCAGAAATGTGTAGGTGTGTCAATGCGTGAGCGTGGGCGCCCACCCATACGCACTCATGTGTTTGTGTGATCGATATCAATATATACTGATCAATATTACGAACTGCTATGTACTAACCTTGAATTGGTTTTCTGTGACTCTTTAAAACATGTAAAAAGAAACAAAAAATGAAGAAGCAAATATAGAAATCTTGATAAATTTTCTACGCACAAAAGAGGTATATGGCACATTTATCAACAAGGAAGTAAACTTTAGTCTCAAGTAGATATGCATAATCCTGAGGTATTGATATGGTATGGGTCAATACATTCAGGAGATGATAGACGTTACGATAATCAAGAAAAAAAAACTTCGCTATCAATTTTCAGTATCATGTTCAATACTAAGTCAATGAAGAGTAAATACAAACATATAACGTGAACCGGCTTTATACACTTACAAGCTATCAGTTTCGTCAGCTTGCTCAGGATATTCTGATAATTATTAGTTTATCATTGATGATTAAATTCCTCATACATTTTATAATCAGAATTTACTTCGTCGAATGTGTATGTGAACAGCCAAGAAACTGCCTTAAAAATCCTCCATATATATATATATATATATATATATATATAGTAAATCAAATCATTACATTTCTATTCATGTTCATGAGAAAGTAATGCAGTAGCTATGACTATTACGCACCTCATTTTTTTTCCGAATGATATTCTGTGAAAGTATAAACAGCTTTCATTCCTATGAATTGTTTGTTAATACATTCTGGCGTTATTCATTATATAGAAAGCTAAGTAAATCAGTAATACAAGTTGAAGAACACACATCATTTACATGGAAATCTGATAAGTGATATTATTGATGT